TCTGCAGCATTGAAGGTCCCCAAGAACACAGTGTCCTCCATCATTCTTAAATGGAAGAAGTTTGGAACCACCAAGACTCTTCCTAGAGCTGGCCGCCTGTCCAAACTGAGCAATCGGGGGAGAAGGGCCTTGGTCAGGGGGGTGACCAAGAACCTGATGGTAATTCTGACAGAGCTCCAGAGTTCCTCTGTGGAGATGGGAGAACCTTCAAGAAACACAACCATCTCTGCAGCACTCCACCAATCAGGCCTTTATGTTAGAGTGGCCAGACGGAAGCCACTCCTCAGTAAAAGGCACATGACAGCCCGCTTGGAGTTTGCCAAAAGGTACCTAAAGGACTCTCAGACCATGATAAAAAATATTATCTGGTCTGATGAAACCATTATTGAACTATTTGGCCTGAATGCCAAGTGTCACGTCTGGAGGAAACCTGGCACCATCCCTACGGTCAAGCATGGTGGTGGCAGCATCATGCTGTGGGGATGTTTTTCTGAGGCAGGGACTGGGAGATTAGTCGGTATCGAGGCAAAGATTAACGGAGCAAAGTACAGAGAGATCCTTGATGAAAACCTGCTCAGGACCTCAGACTGGGGCGATGGTTCACCTTCCAACAGGACAACGACCCTGAGCACACAGCCAAGACAACGCAGGAGTGGCTTCGGGACAAGTCTCAATGTCCTTGATTGGCCCAGCTAGAGCCCGGACTTGAACTCGAACGAACATCTCTGGAGAGACATGAAAATAGCTGTGCAGTGACGCTCCCCATCCAACCTGACAGAGCTTGAGAGGATCTGCAGTGAAGAATGGGAGAAACTCCCCAAATACAGGTGTGCCAAGCTTGTAGCATCATACCAAAGAAGACTCAAGGCTGTAATTGCTGCCAAAGGTGCTTCAACAAAGTACTGAGTAAATGGTCTGAATACTTATGTAAATGTGCTATTCAGTTGTTTTTTTATACATTTGCAAACATTTCTAAAAACCTGTTTTTGCCTTGTCAAAAACAGGGGGGGGGGGGGTATTTAATCAATTTTAGAATAAGGCTGTAATGTAACAAAATGTGGAAAAAGTCAAGGGACCTTAAGACTTTCCGAATGCACTGTACAGTCGTGGTCAAAAGTTTTGAGTATGACACAAATATTGGTCTTCACAAAGTTCGCTGCTTCAGTGTTATGATATATTTTTGTTAGATATTACTATGGTATACTGAAGTATAATTACAAGCATTCCATAAGTGTCAAAGGCTTTTATTGACAATTACATTAAGTTTATGCAAAGAGTCAATATTTTCAGTGTTGACCCTTCTTTTTCAAGACCTCTGCAATCCGCCCTGGCATGCTGTCAATTAACTTCTGGGCCACATCCTGACTGATGGCAGCCCATTGTTGCATAATCAATGCTTGGAGTTTGTCAGAATTTGTAGTTTTTTGTTTGTCCACCCGCCTCTTGAGGATCGACCCCAAGTTCTCAATGGGATTAAGGTCTGGGGAGTTTCCTGGCCATTGACCCAAAATGTCGATGTTTTGTTCCCCGAGCCACTTAGTTATCACTTTTGCCTTATGGCAAGGTGCTCCATCATGCTGGAAAGGGCATTGGTCGTCACCAAACTGTTCTTGGATGGTTGGGAGAAGTTGCTCTCGGGGGATGTGTTGGTACCATTCTTTATTCATGGCTGTGTTCTTAGGCAAAATTGCGAGTGAGCCCACTCCCTTGGCTGAGAAGCAACCCCACACATGAATGGTCTCAGGATGCTTTACTGTTGGCATGACACAGGACTGATGGTAGCGCTCACCTTGTCTTCTCCGGACAAGGTGTTTTCCGAGCCCAGCAGCAAAGGCACCTGCGCAACCATCTTGCAGCCTGATGACATAGGAGGTAACCAACCCGAGGAGGGGCCTGCAGCCGCCAAGACCGAACCTAGCTGCAGCACCGCCAGTACATTACAAGCACCGACGCCTCCATTAGTGCCTGACGACCTCGGTGATGAGGAGCCAGCGCAGGTTTGTCTGGGGAAATACCCTACCCGCCTGTACTGTGGGAGAAAACGGGCATTTTGTAGCGCGTGGTTCAAAAGCAGAGAGTGACTGGAATATTCCTGCAAGGCAGATGCAGTTTGATGAGTTATGGGAGAAATACAAGCACACTTGGACACCCCTGCTCCAAGCAAACGGCAAAGAGTAGTGAGTAGTAATCTGAAAGAATATGTGGTCGAAACAAGTGGGCCAGCAAGAAAAGGATAATGAGAGGGAGTAAACATTTTCTGCACTCTGGATGCTGTACTGGGAGAAATATCAGGAACATTTAACGAACGAAACAGCTAACTTGTTGAGGCTCTGTGTGCCTTGCACCCAGAGAATGAAACCTTTATGGATGTGGTGTGGAAAAAGTGAAACCACTGCTGGTGATGATGGCATTGAAGCTCGGATTAACATTCGGAGCATCCACGACAATTTGCGAGAACTATTTTTTTAACATTGAAAAACGTATTCAGTGAGCACAGACGAAGCATGTCGCACAGGAGGAAAGAGCGGCTGATTCAACTGGCCAACAAATTACTTAGTTTCATTCTCAATTTGACAAAACACACACTTTTCATCAATATCAATTGTAAATCTTGACAGTACCTGGATAAATTAAGTGAATCCTTTTAAAAGACGCTGCCCAGACTTTGTTAGTGACAATACTTTTTATTTAAATTCCATAACGCATTCCAATTAATGTTTTTAAATGTTGAATTCCAGTATACTTTTGCAGGAGGAAAAGCCGGCTCGGTACATATCTTCCTATTTACATTTACATTTTTACATTTTAGTCATTTAGCAGACGCTCTTATCCAGAGCGACTTACAGGAGCAATTAGGGTTAAGTGCCTTGCTCAAGGGCACATTTACGTCATTTAGCAGACGCTCTTATCCAGAGCGACTACAAGTTGGTGCATTCACCCTATAGCCAGTGGGATAACCACTTTACAATTATACTTTTTTTTTTGGGGGGGGGGGGGGGGGGGGGGGGGGGGGGGGTAGAAGGATTACTTTATCCTATCCCAGGTGTTCCTTAAAGAGGTGGGGTTTCAAATGTCTCCGGAAGGTGGTGAGTGACTCCGCTGTCCTGGCGTCGTGAGGGAGCTTGTTCCACCACTGGGGTGCCAGAGCAGCGAACAGTTTTGACTGGGCTGAGCGGGAACTATGCTTCCGCAGAGGAAGGGGAGCCAGCAGGCCAGAGGTGGATGAACGCAATGCCCTCGTTTGGGTGTAGGGACTGATCAGAGCCCGAAGGTACGGAGGTGCCGTTCCCCTCACTGCTCCATAGGCAAGCACCATGGTCTTGTAACGGATGCGAGCTTCAACTGGAAGCCAGTGGAGTGTGCGGAGGAGGGGGGTGACGTGAGAGAACTTGGGAAGGTTGAACACCAGACGGGCTGCGGCATTCTGGATGAATTGTAGGGGTTTAATGGCACAGGCAGGGAGGCCAGCCGACAGCGAGTTGCAGTAATCCAGACGGGAGATGACAAGTGCCTGGATTAGGACCTGTGCCGCTTCCTGTGTAAGGCAGGGTCGTACTCTCCGAATGTTGTAGAGCATGAACCTGCAGGAGCGGGTCACCGCCTTGATGTTAGCGGAGAACGACAGGGGGTTGTCCAGGGTCACGCCAAGGCTCTTCGCACTCTGGGAGGAGGACACAACGGAGTTGTCAACCGTGATGGCGAGATCATGGAACGGGCAGTCCTTCCCCGGGAGGAAGAACAGCTCCGTCTTGCCAGGGTTCAGCTTGAGGTGGTGATCCGTCATCCATACTGATATGTCTGCCAGACATGCAGAGATGCGATTCGCCACCTGGTTATCAGAAGGGGGAAAGGAGAAGATTAGTTGTGTATCGTCAGCGTAGCAATGATAGGAGAGGCCATGTGAGGATATGACAGAGCCAAGTGACTTGGTGTATAGGGAGAAAAGGAGAGGGCCTAGAACTGAGCCCTGGGGGACACCAGTGGTGAGAGCACGTGGTGCGGAGACAGCTTCTCGCCACGCCACTTGGTAGGAGCGACCGGTCAGGTAGGACGCAATCCAGGAGTGAGCCGTGCCGGAGATGCCCAGCTCGGAGAGGGTGGAGAGGAGGATCTGATGGTTCACAGTATCAAAGGCAGCAGACAGGTCTAGAAGGACAAGAGCAGAGGAGAGAGAGTTAGCTTTAGCAGTGCGTAGAGCCTCCGTGACACAGAAGAGCAGTCTCAGTTGAATGACCAGTCCTGAAACCTGACTGGTTTGGATCAATTAGTGCACTTTTTATCCTTGATGCACACACAATCTAATAGGACGCTGAAACTAAATTCTTAATTCCTCTCTTAAACATCTTTCGATTGCCTGACAAGGCGGAAAGAGAATGAGGTGGCCAAAGTCAGGGCTGCCCAGAGCATTTAATATGCAGCAGCTGTTAAGAGGGTTGAAGGTTTGAATGGTGCTCCTGAAGAGTCCATGGTGGTGGATAGGCCTTCACTGCAGGCTGCAGGGGTTGCTTTTCACCAGCAGGACCCTGACATTTTAAAGTTTAAGAAGGTGTACTTTGTGGCCTTTATAGCTATGGTGATTTAATGGCACTTCCAAGGTGGGGAGAAGGTCCAGGAAGATAGATATCATTGTGGGTGCGGTGGAGCGGTTCCTGGGACTGAACGATTTCTCGGCGGAGGAGTTACATGGAATATTGGCACAAGCCGTACCACCCTCTCAGGCCCTAGAGCCTGAGAAGGGAGATATTGACATTTGAAATTAGGAAGCAGCGGGAGTTTTTATTTTGTTAATGTACAATTTTTATTTGGGTAGATTAAGTTAGTTTCCCTATCACATGGATTTTCTTTTAACCTTGTTTTTTTTCTTCAACCCGTCCATTTGGTGGCGGCAATACAACTTTTTGGGTTGTAGTCCGCCATAAAACCCACAAAAGAAGAAGAAGAAGAAGACCTAGGCGATACATTGCTTGCGATTTCTGTGACGTGTCACGCACGCCCTGCCCTCTTGTAGTGGACGTCATTGTTCGGCTACCCCTGTTAATAATAGCTAGCAGGCTGCAAAGGCTGTTTTGGCTACACTACTTGTAAGCAAGTAAAATAAGAATACAATATACTTTTGGAAAGCTTGAATACAGAGATGAGTAAAAGGAAAGCGCCACAGGAATCCCCAAACGAGGGAATAACAGACTTTCTTACCGGTAAGCCAAGAGGCGTGCTAGCTAGCTAACGACAGCTGGCTAGCTCATAATTGATAGGTTAGCTAGCTAGCTTCTTTGCTAGCTATCTTCATTTGCAACCAAATATCGCAACGTAATATTGATAGCTTTTTACTAGCTAGCAATGAAACACGAATGCAAACTTGCTAGTAGTATGGTAGCTAGATTGAGCTTTTAGTTCGATCTTTAAAATCTAACCCCTAGTCGTCCTTGTAACGTTAGCTGTGTGTGTATGATGCTGGCTGTGTCAAACTCGTCACACATTTAAAAAACCTTTGCACAGCCTGTCATTGGTGACATAGAATGTGAGCATGTGTGGTGCTCATGGTTAATAGCCTGTTAATCTCCAATATTATCTGTTAGAGTTTGTTTCTTCCATATGCGAAGCCTGTGAGTGAGTGTGCTATTGTATCTGTTTCTTTCTCTCCCAGAATTGGCCAACTATGAGAGGAATGTCAACAGAGCTATACACAAGTACAATGCCTACAGGTAAGAGGTAGTGTAGTGTAGTGTAGTGAGGGATGAGTGTCCCTTCACAACAGGCATCTGTATAAGTTATTTGTCTGGCTCCATACAAACATATCTTTTTTTTGTTTATGCCCCGTTTACTCCCTCAATTACTGTAAATAACTTTATCTGTGTTGTGCCACTGTGCTCTTCAGGAAAGCAGCTTCAGTGATCTCCAAGTACCCCCAGAAGATCAAAAATGGGGAAGAGGCCAAGAAACTGGTGAGGGCATAAGTGATGAGAGAGAAACAGATGTCACAGACAGTACAGTGCTGTTAGAGCGGTGGTCAATTGTAGTTGATTGACTTGAAAGCTCATCTGATTACAGCCAATGCTCACTGGTGAAGTACCATAACAATACATCATTATACTTTCTATTGTGTTAATCTATTTTAAATAGGATGGAGTTGGAAAAGAGATCGCTAAGAAGATAGATGAGTTTTTACAAACAGGAACACTTAAGAAGTTGGAAAAGGTGAGTGTTTGAGGGATGCAAGGACAGTGAACTCTGCCGTCTCACTTCTTTGTCCCCTGTGACCACAATACAAAATGCACAAATAACCTTTTAAAGATGATTATTATATTATTAATTTCACTCAGTTTGATGCAGGCTAATGGATTGTTTATCTTCCCAGATTCGTAATGATGACACCAGCTCCTCCATCAATTTCCTTACAAGAGTCACTGGTATTGGGTATGTCTTCTGTATTGTTTGTTAAACCCAATCCCTGAACCTAGCCCCTGGGTGGAGAGCTACCGTTCTGCATGACTTTGTTCCAGCCATTATTTAAGACACCTGAGCAGTTAACTATTTCTTCCTCCTCCACTAGTCCTGCTGCTGCCAGAAAGTTCTTTGATGAGGGAGTGAAGACTCTGGAAGGTTTGCCCAACTTTTAAAGCTATTTTTTACATTTAGAAGAATATACCAGAGTAGCCTGCAGTGCATATGGTAAAGGGGTTGAGGATATGTAGGAATGCCATACAATTTCAAAAGGAACTTCAATTGTTATTAGACTACATTAACACTGTTGTGATTTTTAGATTTGAAGAAAATTGAACACAAGCTCAATCATCATCAGCAGATTGGACTCAAGTAAGTATGGATTTCCTATGTCAGTTGCTCAGTCTGCATGCACCAATGTAAGTGTTTTGCTAATGTTCTATGTGCATCATTGGTTGGTGACTCATACATTCCAATGTAAGTTTCCTTTGCATGCTTGGTGGCTTGTGGGTGACGCTGCTCTGTGCCCGCTGTAGGTACTTTGAGGAGTTTGAGAAGAGGATTCCACGAGCTGAGATGACGAAGATGGAGGTGAGGTGAAATTACTATTGTGAGAGAAAACAATTCTGATTGCATTTTTTGAAGTGGTTAGAATGGCATGTATTTACTCTTACCGCTGTCTTACGCTTCTTGTGTGTTTGTCCAGACTCTCATTCTGCAGGAGCTGGAGTTGGTGGATACTGAGTACATTGGGACAATCTGTGGAAGCTACAGGAGAGGGGAGTCCACCATGTACTTGGTGGTTTTTACTATTACTAACTCTGTGTGTACTGTTTACATGTGCAATTTTCATGTATGATCAAGGAAGTGATTGCACTGGGAAGACCAATTTTTATGCATGTGATTTTCTTCTTCTTCTTTGAGGTCATTTCTTCATTATTGATCTGTTCCTGCATTCCCTCCTGCAGGTGCTGAATCCAGTGGGGATATTGATATCTTGCTGACCCACCCAAACTACACCTCTGTGGATGAGAAACAGGTAACTACCAAACTCCACAATGCCAACTGCTGCTTTGGCATTATATTGATTTAAAATATACTAAGCATTGGAGGCTCCTCAGAGGAGGAAGGGGAGAACCATCCTCCTCAGTGAATTTAATACAAATAGTGAAACATTTTAAAGTTATCCTTTTTAGATAAAACTATACAAAATATATTCACGTCACCAAATAATTGATTAAAATGTAATGAAAGTCTGCAGTAGCCTCAACAGCACTCTGTAGGGTAGAACCATGGTGTAGCCGGAGGACAGCTAGCTTCCGTCCTCCTCTGGGTACATTGACTTCAATACAAAACCTAGGATGCTCATGGTTCTCTGCCCCTTCCATAGACTTACACAGTAATTATGACAACTTCTGGAGGACATCCTCCAACCTATCAGAGGTCTTGCAGCATGAACTGACATGTTGTCCACCCAATCAAAGGATCAGAGAATGGATCTAGTACTGAAGCATAAGCTACAGCTAGCTAGCACTGCAGTGCATCAAATGTGGTGAGTAGTTGACTCAAAGGTTTGGCGGATGCCAGGGGAATGCATAGTGCCTACTGTAAAGTTTTGTGGAGGAGGAATAATGGTCTGGGGCTGTTTTTCATGGTTCGAGCTTAGTTCCAGTGAAGAGAAATCTTAACGCTACAGCAAACAATTACATTCTATACGATTCTGTGCTTCCAACTTTGTGGCAACAGTTTGGGGAAGGCCCTTTCCTGTTTCAGTATGACAATGCCCCCGTGCACAAAGTGAAGTCCATACAGAAATGGTTTGTCAAGATCGGTGTGGAAGAACTTGACTGGCCTGCAAAGAGCCCTGACCTCAACCCCATCGAACACCTTTGGGATGAATTGGAACGCTGACTGCGAGCCAGGCCTAATCGCCCAACATAAGTTCCCGACCTCACTAATGCTCTTGAAGGCTGAATGGAAGAATGTCCCCGCAGCAATGTTCCAACATCTAGTGGAAAGTCTTATCAAAAGTGAAGGCTGTTATAGCAGCAAAGGGGGGACCAACTCCATATTAATTCCCATGATTATGGAATGAGATGTTCGACGAGCAGGTGTCCACATACTTTTGGTAGTGTATGAAGGTTTGGCTTGGTCACAGACAGCTAATGTGTTGTGCATTGAAGTCCACAAGCGAAGGGAAAAGGTGAGAGGAGGAGTGCGTGTAGATGCGAGAAGGAATACAATGAGCTGTTTGTATGTGGCTATGAAGTGAACTGTTTGCGTGTGATCAGCAGTGTATTCATTCTGCTGATTCTGTTGGGAAAAAAAATCTTAAACGGAAGCAAATGGAACGAAACGGGGATAAACATACATTAATTTGTCCAATAGAAACTCTCATTTGCAACTGTTGGACTAATGATTACACCCTATGTCAGCTAGATGCAGGCAAGAGTGTGCAAGGCGGTATTGAATGTGTCACTGTCTGTCACTCCAAATATTTCTCTCAACCTGTGTGCACCTATGTTGAATTCCTATGCTAGGTTGTAGCAACCTCATGATGGGTATAGGGAAAATTTCAGTATCATGTAGTAACATAAACCTGTCGACGTTAAACTGGGTGAATGGAATATGAATGACAGTCATCCAATATGCTGTAATAGAAAAAAGGCCAAGCTCATTAAAGAAATGAGCGTCCTCCCTCATCTTAAACGGCACTGACCACCACTGATACTAAGGTACAGTTGACTCCTTAGTGCAATCTCCATTTAAGTGCTTAACAGTTTACTAGTCTAAATATGAATACATTGTTATTTGCTATGGATAACATGATGCTCTGGTTTAGTGCATGCATTAATGACAGTCCAAAGGCATTGCATTCAACAGAAGATACCTCTTATGACTTGCATATGCTCATAACATCCTTTCTTTGCTCTTCCTCTTCCAGCCCAAACTTCTCCATGCCGTGGTGGAGCATTTTGAATCCATTGGGTTCATTACAGACACACTGTCCAAAGGAGACACCAAATTCATGGTGAGTACTGCTTGTGGCTAGCTAGCTGCAAGGAATGTTGCTTAATCTGTCTAGTAACTAAGATGTTTTATGTTGTCATTGGTGATGTATTTTGTGCAGCAAGGGTCTGTACTTCACTAAATTGGAAGCAACCGTTGAAGCAGATGGCTCACAGGTTATTTTTGTGATCGTTGCTCTCTCTGAGGTCTGTCAGCAGAATTAGTCTAATCAGTCAGAAAGTTGATCTATTCAATCTTTATTTAGCTAGGAATGTCTCCTACCCCGCAACCACCTGGTCATTGATATGATATGTCTCTAGGGAGTCTGCCAGCTGCAGCAGAATGATGAAGACGAGGAGGAATATCTTCACAGACGCATTGATATCAGGTTGGTAGCTAATTGGCTAGTTACCTCCACAAATGCACCTCATCACATGTGGTTCTGTTGCCTGGAGGATGGTCAGATGGAGCACTTTCAACGACATTTGATTATCTTTTCGTTCACCTTGCTATAACAGAAATACAATTTCCCTTATCTCACTGCAGGTTAATTCCTAAGGACCAGTATTACTGTGGTGTGCTGTATTTCACTGGCAGTGACATCTTCAATAAGAACATGAGAACTCATGCTCTGGAGAAAGGCTTCACCCTCAACGAGTACACCATCCGGCCAGTGGGGGTCACTGGTGAGTCATGCTGAAAGATCAGCAGTCAAATCAACCCCTTGCCCCTATTCCTAGACCAGGGGTGTCAAACATACGGGATGCGAGCCGATAAAATGTGGCTCACGTTTTGAGTAAAAAAAAATGGAATGTAGATATAATCTAAAAACAATTGCCAAATATTTGCACATTTTGACGGCGAGGAAATATAAACAATTTTGTGCGGCTCTATGGACCTCGGTGAAGAAATGAAATACAGAAATATCTAATTTACTTAAGTATACACGCCCCTGAGTCAGTACATGTTAGAATCATCTTTGGCAGCAATTACAGCTGTGAGTCTTTCTGGGTAAGTCTCCAAGAGCTTTGTACACCTGGATTGTACAATATTTGCACATTCTATTTTAAATTCTTCAAACTCTGTCAAAAAGTTGGTTGTTGATCATTGCTAGACAGCCATTTTCAAGTCTTTCCAAAGATTTTAAAGCCGATTTTAGTCAAAACTGTAACTAGGCCACTCAGGAACATTTACTGTCTTCTTGGTAAGCAACTCCAGTGTATATTTGGCCTTGTGTTTTAGGTTATTGTCCTGCTGAAAGGTACATTTGTCTCCCAGTGTCTGTTGGAAACAGACTGAACCAGGTTTTCTTCTAGAATTTTGCATGTGCTTAGCTTTTCCGTTTCTTTTTATAAAAACTCCCTAGTCCTTGCCGATGAAAAGCATACCAATAACATGATGCAATCACCACCATGCTTGAAAATATGAAGTGGTACTCGGTGATGTGTTGGATTTCCTCCAAAAATAATGCTTTGTATTTGGGACATAGTTCATTTCTTAAACAAATTTTTTGCCGTTTTACTTTAGTGTCTTACTGAAAACTGGATGCATGTTTTGGAATATTTGTTATTATGTACAGGCTTCCTTCTTTTCACTCTGTCATTTAAGTTAGTGTCGTGGAGTAACTACAATGTTGTTGATCCATCCTCAGTTTTCTCCTATCACAGCCATTTTAACTCTAACTGTTCTAAAGTCACCATTGGCCTCATGGTGAAATCCCTGAGTGGTTTCCTTCCTCTCCGGCAACTGAATTAGGAAAGGACGCCTGTATCTTTGTAGTGACTGGGTGTATTGATACACCATCCAAAGTGTCATTAATAACTTCACCCTGCTCAAAGGGATATTCAATGTCTGCTTTATTTTATTTTTACCAATCTACCAATAGGTGCCCTTCTTTACGAAGCATTGTAAAACCTCCCTGGTCTTTGTGGTTGAATCTGTGTATGAAATGTACTGCTCGACTGAGCGACCTTACAATTATCTGTATGTGTGGGGTACAGAGATGAGGTAGTCATTCAAAAATTATGTTAAGCACTATTGCACGCAGAGTGAATCCATGCAATTTATTATGTGACTTGTTAAGCACATTTTAACTCCTGAACGTATTATTTAGGCTTGCCATAACAAAGGGGTTGAATACTTGTTAACTCAAGACATTTCAGCTTTTCATTTTGAAATTTGATTTGTAAATACATAATTCCACTTTGACATTATGAGGTATTGTATGTAGGCCAGTGAATACTTTCGGAAGGCATGCAGTGAATCCTTAAGATCCAAGTGTCTAGAGGTTGGTTTTGTATTAGGCACCTGTATCTTATTTACTGAAATTCAGCAACGTATCCATCTCTCCGTCATTAACTGTTGGGTTAGCCAACTGTTTAAAGTGACTTTTAAACAGCAAAGGTAGTTAATGTCTGTTTCTGTGGTTGTAGGTATGGCTGGGGAGCCTCTGATGGTGGACAGTGAGAAGGATATCTTTGACTACATCCAATGGAAATACAGAGAGCCCAAAGAACGCAGCGAGTGAAAGAAGGGATGAAAGACACTTGATCCCCACATTATTTAACTGCAAACAAGGCTGAAAATTATGTAGGTGTTTGTCTTAGGGTTTCTTTTTATTTTGGTGTCTGTTTTCACAGGAGGGAAAAATAGGACAACCTTGTTGTTGGTCTTTAAGTTGTTCTGAGGTTTCTCCCACAGATTGACCGAACATTTATAATTTCAAATATACAGTTGAAGTCGGAGGTTTACATACACTTAGGTTGGAGTCATTAAAACTCGTTTTTGAACCACTCCACACATTTCTTGTTAACAAACTATAGTTTTGGCAAGTCGGTTAGGACATCTACTTTGTGCATGACACAAGTCATTTTTCCAACAATTGTTTACAGACCAATAATTCACTATCACAATTCCAGTGGGTCAGAAGTTTACATACACTAAGTTGACTGTGCCTTTAAACAGCTTGGTAAAAAAAATGTCATGGCTTTAGAAGCTTCTGATAGGCTAATTGACATCATTTGAGTCAATTGGAAGTGTACCTGTGGATGTATTTCAAGGCCTACCTTCAAACTCAGTGCCTCTTTGCTTGACATCATGGGAAAATCAAAAGGAATCAGCCAAGACCTCAGAAGAAAAAATGGTAGACCTCCACAAGTCTAGTTCATCCTTGGGAGCAATTTCCAAACGCCTGAAGGTACCATGTTCATCTGTGCAAACAATAGTACGCAAGTATAAACACCATGGGACCATGCAGCCGTCATACCGCTCAGGAAGGAGACGCGTTCTGTCTCCTAGAGATTAACGTACTTTGGGGTGAAAAGTGAAAATCAATCCCAGCACAACAGCAAAGGACCTTGTGAAAATGCTGGAGGACACGGGTACAAAAGTATCTATATCCACAGTAAAATGAGTACTATATCGACTTAACCTGAAAGGCCGCTCAGCAAGGAAGAAGCCACTGCTCCAAAACCGCCATAGAAAAGCCAGACTACGGTTTGCAACTGCACATGGGGACAAAGATTGTACTTTTTGGAGCAATGTCCTCTGGTCTGATGAAACAAAAATATAACTGTTTGGCCATAATGACCATCGTTATGTTTGGAGGAAAAGGGGGAAGGCTTGCAAGCCGAAGAACACCATCCCAACCGTGAAGCACAGAGGTGGCAGCATCATGCTGTGGGGGTGCTTTGCTGCAGGAGGGACTGGTGCACTTCACAAAATAGATGGCATCATGAGGAAGGAAAAGTATGTGGATATATTGAAGCAATATCTCAAGACATCAGTCAGGAAGTTAAAGCTTGGTCACAAATGGGTCTTCCAAATGGACAATGACCCCAAGCATACTTCCAACGTTGTGGAAAAAAGGCTTAAGGACAACAAAGTAAAGGTATTGGAGTGGCCATCACAAAGCCCTGACCTCAATCCTATAGAACATTTGTGGGCAGAACTGAAAAGCGTGTGCGAGCAAGGAGGCCTACAAACCTGACTCAGTTACACCAGCTGTCTGGAGGAATGGGCCAAAATTCACCCAACTTATTGTGGCAAGCTTGTGGGAGGCTACCTGAAACGTTTGACCCAAGTTAAAGGCAATGCTACCAAATACTAATTGAGTGTATGTAAACTTCTGACCCACTGGGAATGTGATGAAAGAAATAAAAGCTGAAATAAATCTCTACTATTATTCTGACATTTCACATTCTTAAAATAAAGTGGTGACCTTAACTGACCTAAAACAGGGAATTTTTACTAGGATTAAATGTCAGGAATTGTGAAAAACTGCAGTGTATGTAAACTTCTGACCTCAACTGTACTTGCAAACACTCTAACTCTTGTCATGCATTATCTGTTTTTTGATGACATTGCCAGAGATTTCTACTCTCTGACAATGCCAAGACATTATTTGTTTACAGTGCTATCACTCAGCAGAATCATGCAAATATATTTTAATTGTGCTAAAATAACTTGTGTGTCGAACAGCAACACAGTGTGTCAGTCTGTTACTGCTTTGTCACTGTCTTGTTTGGCTAGCTAGGCAACAATGATGCCTTGACTGCAGAAACAGACTGGTAACCAGGCTAAAGCATATGGCTACTGTTAGGACAATGCCAGATCTTTTTAGTATGCCTGACTAGTCACTCCTGCAGCATCTTTTTACATTGTTTCCTTCACTCACTGTCCGGTTTTATATTTATTATGTGTGGGAGACATGTATCATGCTTTTGAGAGGAAGTTACTTCCAAGATGAAAACACTTAGTGATTAATGGATATTATGTTACATATAGTTCTGCATTTTTATGGGTGGAAATATAACATTGTTTGTAATTGAGCTCTATCCTCGTGATTTCTAGGGAATAAATGGTGCCCATAAACATGTCGAGATGGCCTAACTTTTGTACTATTATTCTGAGTAAAGCTGGACATGGAGAGGTAAAGTAACTAACCTTATGGTACCCCACCCCCAAAAAAATTACTCAAGATTATCGAGGAAGGTGTTATGTTGATACTGTTAGCTAACAACAAATTGTATTTATTTTGTGTTTTTAGTAACCTATGTTAGAAATTAAGAGAATGGTGCATATGTGTATATGTCATGATGGTCTTATCACTATAGGTATAGCTACTTAGATGTATTTAAGTAATGTGTTCCATTGTTTGTAATGATGGGTGAGTGAAATAAAGAAAATTACAGAACATTGACATTTTCCTAGCCAATGCTCATTGAAAAGATCACCCTGTCAGAGTAAATTAAGTGTATTTGAATACAGGAGATAGACCCAGGTACCCAGTTGGGAAATTGCCTGTCTGAGCATAGAAATATAATCTATTTCGATGGGTCTGAGCAACTCAAGACTGGGCACATGTTTTCAGGTCAGCCACCCAAGGTCCGCAAGAGGGTCCGCAAGAGTCCTCAGTGACTACAAACGAGGTCAAGAATAATATTAGCGCCCTCTGGCGGACCTTGCTGGGCCTGTCCATAATGGACGTACAAAACGTATCTTCCGGTTTGTGTGGAATAAGTCGTCCATATTATGAGGCGTTTTTAAATATAGACTTATATTTAACTAGCTAGCTACATGCCTTTGTCTGTGTACTGCCTAATAATAGTACTGTCTTTGCTAATGTTGTTTACAATTACACAACGGTTGCCACGGAAACCAACGACGTGTGAACCGCAAAGCATGATGGGCTGAAATAAATTGCAGCGAGAAATACCAGCGAAAGCTGCGAAAGATTGACCAATAACTACACCGTATGCATAATGGTTAGCCAATAGGAGATAGGTGCGATCGTGTCCTCTGTCAGTTACCCACCCACATTACTTTTTGTCCACCACTTAGCGGGAGTTGGAGCTGTGAAATCAAGAATCCATACAGCCGAGACAACCGACGTTGCATAATAAGGTAAAAAAAAAAACGCTAGGCAATTATGACCTTGTCGATCGTTTTTTTTTTATTAGTGGAAGTGGTCTAAGAATCATTTGCGATCTGAATTGATAAGTACAGTTGAAACCGCTAGCTATTTGCGTCTGTCTGAGTGGCGCACAACCGGCGTCATTGATTAATCTTCTGCAATTTGCCTACTAACGGCAGCTAGCTAGTTCACGTTAGATTGCTAGCCAGGTATCAATAAATTACATTATGACATCTAACGTAATATCATTCATGACTTGTTAGCAAAGTGGCACCCATGGAGATCCTATTAAATTACTAGAGGGGCAATGTGAAACCCTAAAAGTTCCAGAATGAGGTGAAAATGGCAGCCATATTGGTCAGGGAGAAATCAAAACCAGTCTAATTGGAATGAATGGCAGAGGCATAATCCTCCTGGTTTTACTTATGCAGGAAAATAAAAGTAATGCATGTGATATCAGAAATTGTAATAAAATGTGTCAACCTAAAATATTGTAACTTAATAAAAAAATCATACAGGTAGCTACACTTTATAGCTACACTTTCTGTATTACATTTACATTTACGTCATTTAGCAGACGCTCTTATCCAGAGCGACTTACAAATTGGTGCATTCACCTTATAGCCAGTGGGAATGTTTATTTATTTTTAAAAAACATGTATAGATTTTTTTTATATATATATATATATATATATCCTTAAATATATAGCCTTAAATATGTCAACAGACCATAAATGGCTACATTTGTTTTCTTAGAAAGGTGTGTGTTTATTATGATACTACATCAGTATTTGTTGCATTATTTTAGAACTTGTCCATTGCTGGCTTCACCTGCTATTCGGATCTCGGAAACTCAAATGTCCAACTTGCTAACTGCTTGTAGTTATACACCTGCCTGTGCAACCAGTTAGCAAGCCAGACATTTCTGAGTTTCCTAGTTCCAACTAGCAGGTGAATGTGGCGTAAATCCTATCATCAGCTGATTTCAGCCAGTGTATGGCTGTGGATTAACTGCATTGTTTGAATGGAATGTTGACATATTGGCAGTTAATTAAAACATTAATGGAATCATTCCTCTAAAGCTGGCTGGCTAACTAACAAACATACAGTGCAGATCAATTATTCAAATTAATTGGCAAACCAAGGTTAATCAACTCCCTGACCAAAATGGCTGACCTTTATCCCATCATAAGAAGGTTAAAGTCCATTCTAGTATTGTAATTCCTAATTTTATGGTAGCACCTTTCTTACAAATTTAAACGGGAACATTGCTGTTTGCAGCTCGCAAAGTGTAAATTACTATGCTAATTTTAAGTTTAATAATTTTGGGAAATGGTGAGTTATGGTTTTTGTTTTGTCCGAAATAACAAAAATGTTGCTCGACAACTTGAATAGATTGGAGAAGATGAGAATTCTAGCTACACAATAGTGGTGAGGAGGAGTCTACCGTGTCCGGATGCGATTTCACCATTCATTTTCTGTATTCAGGGTTCACTCAAACATCGTTTTACGATTGACAGTAACAGCTAATCTCGAACGTGTATATCGATTTGCTCTCCTTAAATACACTACATGACCAAAAGTGTGTGGACACCTGCTCGTCGAACATCTCATTCCAAAGTCATGGGCATTAATATGGAGTTGGTCCCCCCCTTTGCTGCTATAACAGCCTCCACTCTTCTGGGAAGGCTTTCCACTAGATGTTGGAACATTGCTGCAGGGACTTGCTTCCATTCAGCCACAAGAGCATTAGTGAGGTCGGGCACTGATGTTGGGCGATTAGGCCTGGCTCGCAGTCAGCATTCCAATTCATCCCAAAGGTGTTTGATGGGCTTTGAGGTCAGGGCTCTGTGCAGGCCAGTCAAGTTCTTCCACACCGATCTCGACAAACCATTTCTGTATGGACCTCGCTTTGTGAGTGGGGGCATTGTCATAGTGAAACAGGAAAGGGCCTTCGCCAAACTGTTGCCACAAAGTTGGAAGACCAGAATCATCTAGAACAGGGTTCTTCAATTCCGGTCCTGGAGGGCCGAAACACCTCTGTTTTTCATCCTCTCCTTCTAATCAGGGGCTAATTCAGACCTGGGACACCAGGTGAGTGCAATTAACTACCAGGTAGAAATTAAAAACAGAAGTGTTTCGGCCCTCCAGGACCGGAATTGAAGAACCCTGATCTAGAATGTCATCGTATGCTGTAGTTCACTGGAACTAAGGGGCCTAGACCGAACCATGAAAAAGCCCTAGAACATTATTCCTCCTCCACCAAACCCTACAGTTGGCAATATGCATTCGGGCAGGGAGCGTTCTCCTGGCATGCGCCAAACACAGATTTATCGGTCGGACTGCCAGATGGTGAAGTGTGATTCATCACTCCAGAGAACGGGTTTCCACTGCTCCAGAGTGCAATGGCGGCTAGCTTTACACCACTCCAGACGACGCTTGGCATTACGCATGGTGATCTTAGACTTGTGCTCGGCCATGGAAACCCATTTCATGAAGCTCCAGAGGAACTGTTATTTTGCTGACGTTGCTTCCAGAGGCAGGTTGGAACTCGGTAGTGAGTGTTGCAACCGAAGACAGACGATTTTTATGCGCTTCAGCACTCGCCGGTCCCGTTCTGTGAGCTTGTGTGGCCTACCACTTCGCGGCTGAGCCGTTGTTGCACCTAGACGTTTCCACTTGACAATAACAGCACTACAGTTGACCGGGGCAGCTCTAGCAGGGCAGACATTTGATGAACTGACTTGTTAGAAAGGTGTCATCCTATGACAGTTCCACGTTGAAAGTCACTTAGCTCTTCAGTAAGGCCATTCTACTGCCAATGTTTGTCTATGGAGATTGCATGTCTGTGTGCTCGATTTTGTACACCTGTCAACAATGGGTGTGGCTGACATGGCCGAATCCACTAATTTGAAGGGGTGTATATATAGTGTATGTCATCTGATTTATTCGTTTTAGGCTCTGAATTGTTTAATCAAAGTTTTTGCCGCCAGCTCCTGATATCAGGAGGGCATAAAAACTTCACTGTTACACGAGAAGATTGAACGAATGCTAGTCCTCTAGCAGTCGTCTTATCTTCTGTGTAACAGTTGGGATAATGGGACAATTCGGAGTACAACTCATTTCTCATCCCTGGATTGAGGTATGTTTTCCAAGCCATATCCCGCGCCGGCGCCGCGGTGTCTTTCCGGACCCAGTAAGCAAGCATCGGGTTCGGAATCTATTCTGGCTACTGCTTGGTGTGTTAAGCTCTGGTCTGAACATGCTAGCTAGTGGATGATGAGTCTTAACACAGCAAGTTCTTTCTAGAAGAGGTTAGAGTGAGTACCGTTTAAAATGCTGGGTGAGCCCAGGTTGATCGTTCCGTGCCGTTGGTTTTTATTTGTTATTTTAACATTTTATTTAACTAGGCAAGTCAGTTAAGAACAAATTGTTATTTACAGTGATGAACTGGCAAAAGGCCTCCTGTGGGGACGGGGGCTGGGATTAAAAATAATTATATATATATATATTAAAAATATAGGACAAAACGCATATCACGACAAGAGACAACACTACATAAAGAGACCTAAGACAACAACATAGCATGGCAGCAGCACAACATGGTACAAACATTATTGGGCACACACAACAGCACAAAGGGCAAGAAGGTAGAGACAACAATATATCACGTGACGCAGCCACAACTGTCAGTGTCCATGATTGCGTCTTTGAAAGAAGAGATGGAGATAAAACTGTCCAGTTTGAGTGTTTTTTGCAGCTCGTTCCAGTTGCTGGTTAATACTGTGATGTTGGTTTCCTAGGGCAACCATGTCTGACAGAAAAGCAGTCATAAAAAATGCCGACATGTCAGAGGAGATGCAGCAGGACGCAGTGGAGTGCGCCACGCAGGCTCTGGAGAAGTACAACATCGAGAAAGACATCGCTGCATACATCAAGAAGGTACCCACCCGACACTTACCTATTCAATTACGTTCATGGTCTGAATGACTCCCTGCCTATTCCCCATACGGAGCAGTGTGACTCTTGCCAAAAGTTCGTCTCTGGGGGGATTGATTCGTGATGTGGCTATCCATATTTTACGATTGTCTAAAATATTGTTTGACGCTCAAACGATCCCGTTGAATTGCATACATGGGGAAAGGGATGTTATCCCAGGCATTGGTATAACATTGAGTTCAAGTAGTTAGACCTTCATACTAAATAATGTTAGCTGCCTGACTTACAATTTGACTTGGATTTATAGTAAAGCAGTAACTTCTATGACATTTACAACAGTGGTGCAGGGTCACTGTTGGATTGTAAAAATAAAAATATATATAACTATTTAGGGAGGAAACCATTATACAGTAATGGTTTCCTCATTGATCCCTATTAATCACTGCATTCCTGTCTCTGCCCCTCCCAGGAGTTTGACAAGAAGTACAACCCCACCTGGCATTGCATTGTAGGGAGGAACTTTGGCAGCTATGTGACCCATGAGACCAAGCATTTCATCTACTTCTACTTGGGCCAGGTGGCCATTCTGCTCTTCAAGTCTGGCTGAGGGGCCAGCCGCCCCAGCCCCTTCAACATCAACTGACCATTAAATACTGACTGACTCGACAGAAAGGCTCTATCATTCCTGGTCAACAGGGACTGCGTTTCTGTGCTGCTTTCTACCATTTTGTTTAAAGAAAATACATGGCCATGTGAGAGAAATGAAACACTTGTATTTTATGTTTTATATTGCAGTAGATTGTCACTGTTTTTAAATTAAAGCGATATCATTTGGCATTCTGGGTTTACCTGTAGTTTATTTTAGCTACATGTTCACTTTTTTTGCAGTATGAAGCATGTCGAGGTCCATCATCCAAATGTATTGAATGACAGCACGGATTGTAATGAGGTCAAATGGTTTCTTCCTGATAACCATAAACTACAATGTGTGGGCTGTTACAAATATTCTCATCCCACTCAACCATTTTACATTAGCCCAGGTAAATATTGGTCACAATGATCACATGAAAAGGTGATCAAGGGCTCTGTGCCCAAGATAGTTGTCCATCAAATAATTTCTACATTGTCACAACTTTAGATGGCATGAGTTAATTTTAGCTAGTTCAGCAAACAGATTTAGGATTTGTGGGTAGGCAATGCAGCCAAGTGACTGGTAGTGTCCACCAGTTTCCCAGAGTAATGTGACACCTCCATTTGAGTGAACCTGAACCGGGGATCCTATAATTCCAGTGTACTTCTATGGTCTGGCCCGAGCTAAAAAATGGCTAGCCTTTTACAACCAACTTAAGATGGTAACTTGCTGTATGTTCAGCATTTTCATGCAACTAACTGTCTCAACATCGTATGACTAGTCTAGCACGTAACCTACCAAACTGTTCCATCGTAATTACTCAAGCCGAATGGCTTAAAGCTTCAATGTCAGTGAAGACATACATTCTGTAGGGGTGGATGTGAGCCAATAGGAAACTGATTTGCCAAACCAGGGTCAGATACAGACAATGGCAGCAACCAAACACCTGATGCATCCTGAATGCCTTTGACAGCCCAGCCTGCCACAGAACCTCATTAAGAGTTTGAATTACAGGGGAGCTGCTGGACTACCAGGATGTCCCCAAATGCTTTGAGTATTTAACTCAACAATTAATCCATTTACACACAATCACACACAGACAGAAGGTGGGATAGGACTGTGGTGGTACTCTTTATTACAACACATTTAGAAAACCAGTTTGTGAGGGTAGACCCCGTTGGAGAGGCAGAAAGAAGAGCGCAGGTAGCCCTTCAGCTGGGGAACCTTCTTAATGAGGGGCAGCAGCTGAGAGTCCACAGCCTTCTGGTCCTCCTTCCTCTGCCCTGTCAACTGGTACTTCTGTAGAGGGTGGAAAGGAAGAGGTAAGAGTTTGTCAGAACTTAGCTTGTGACATCCCAGTTAAAAGCATTTTCTAGCCACAACCAAAGAGGGAAGAACCGTTATTCACCATATATTGAGCAAACGACCCACTCCCAATCAAAAGAGTTGCACTGTCAGGATAAACTGCTAGGTTTCCAACCAATTGGCGACAGTCATGTGAATATTCAAAAAAAGATGCATAAATCAAATATGCGCGTTTTCCCACCAAACTGAATTGTGGCGGATAAAAATCAGTGCGTGATGACAGTGCACACAAAATGTACTTTTTCACTTAAGTTTTCATGTACCGAATAAAAATTAGTGTTCAATGTGTTTCCATCGCATTTTCAACTCTACCAACAGTTTTGTCACAAAAACGGTTGCTTTAAATAGCAAATGTGCCTACTCTGGTCTTGGCACGTAAGCTCTAGCCAACAGCTCGCAGATACAGGTAGGTTGGTCTACAACACGAGATTATTATGGATAAGAGCGAGAATATTTTTATTTGTCAAACGGCTGTGAAGCATCGATCATGTCACCAGAATAAGACCCTCAACATTTATTGGAAAGAAGCATCAAGCTCATACCTTGCACTTTCACAACCCTGTGAAGTTCATAACTTATTTCATCTGTAGCCTAAAACTATGTTTCCGAGTCGTAGTGGGAGGACCATACACCATGTCATCACGTGACTCAGTTATTATATAAATATTTGCACCATTTCTCGCATAATTTTACCGTCAAAATGATCCAACCATGTCGAACAAACGTCGGCATTTATAAAATTGTACCAAAACTTCCTGTTTCCAATCACAGCGGTCCTGATATATATATATTTTTTAAATACGGTATGACTTTACTCGTGGATGGAAACATGGTTACTGACTGCATTCTCCAAATAACATTCTATGGAATGTAGGATTAGGATGTATGCGCCATGGCTTTTATGCTACCTGTCCAACAACAACACTCAATAGTCACCATTACTCCTCCCTCCCACTAGTCTAAATCCCAGGAGGGTTTGCAAGTGTGTATAGTGTGGGGTTGACCTCTTTCTCTGTGTCAAAGATCTCTCCCTCCTGGTGGCGGGGTCTCCTCAGCCGCTTCTTCTTGAAGTAGGCGTCTGACAGAGTCTTGGGGATCTTCATGCCAGAGATGTCGACCTTGGTTGCTGTGGCAATGACAAACTTCTGGTGTGCCCTGCGCAGGGGGACACGGTTCAGGGCCAGGGGACCTAGAGGATGGAGAAAGCAAGAGGGTGATTAAGTTACAACCGAAAACGCAAGAACAGCATACTTTTCCAAACATCACATCAAGATAAGGCTACCTGATGAGGTACTGCAGCTGCACAGACGTGAATGTGAGCTATAAAATCTCACTGGACATTCCGAACAGAACTACTCTATGCAACACTTGTTTTGCCTATTCACTGTGATTAATAGGAATGTTTCAAAGCACTGGTTGTTCTTACCAGTTACAAGCAGGAGACCACTGGAGAGCTGTTTCAGGAACACAACACGCTGAGGGGAGAGAAGAGTCAGTTACTGCATTGCACAGGGCAACATAATATAATATAATAATATGCCATTTAGCAGACGCTTTTATCCAAAGCGACTTACAGTCGTGCGTGCATACATTTTTGTGTATGGGTGGTCCCGGGGAACGAACCCACTACCTTGGCGTTACAAGCGCCGTGCTCTACCAGCTGAGCTACCACATGTACATGCTACTGAAGTGATAACCAATCCTGGTTCTGAAAAACTATGAAGACTTCTAAAATCAATGGTAATACTGCCATAGCCGAAACCAAACAAGCTGGCTTTCCATTAGAATGTAGAGCTGATCAATCTACTTTGTTACAGTAAGAAAAATATCCACAACACTAGTATAACAAAATTGTACTAGACCACTGCCAATTTAAAAATGTATTGGGAAAAGCATTACATAAATCTTTAACAAGTCTGTTCAGATGTTGTTTATCAACTCGAAATTCTCCACTTCACACATTTATGTGCTTCCAATACAATGCTGCGAGTGTCCTCTGCCAATTGAGCTGCACTTAAAGCTGAAACCATAGCAGCAGGCCCTGCTACGTGCATTCAGTGTGTGGGCACAGTCCTGTGTGTGGGCACTACTGTAGTATGGATGTGTGAGGCTTGAATGTGTGTTTTTCAGTGTGGGAAAGAAGGAAACTGATTTGGTAGTGTGGGAGTATCATGCAGCTTATCACATGTAGAGCAAAGGACAGTTCTAAGGAGGGTAGCAGTGCAACAACAGTGTTTAGAATAGTGTGCACAGCACACCATCTCAGCAATATCATAGGTTGCAAAATAATGCTACTGCGAGTTAGCTTGAGCATGTGAAAGCAATGTATATTTATGAGTGATGGCAGTGTCATGTGTAGCCATGTGAGTGTTCACCTTCATGCACTGGTGTCCTGTGAGCAGGACAAGGACTATTCCGGGGGGTGAGTCTGTTTCAGCGGTGATGTGTGTTTGTGCATGCATGAGTGTGTGATCTCACCTTTCCGCGGTGGCGCCCAGTGAGCAGTACAAGCACGGTTCCTGGAGTGATGGTGGCACGCAGGTTCCTCTTGTGCTGGCTGAAAGGCTTCTTACCATGGTTCTTCAGCTTACGTGCCACATCCTCTGTGGGGTAGTAACGGGGCTGGGGGGCACAGAGTCAGGGGATCAAACACTACTTCACAGGTGTAGAACCATTTAACACCAGCCATGCCTCACAATCAGACCTTACTGCAGTATATTGAAATGGTGAAAAGTCAATCTGCTGAATGTTTGTGAGATACAAAGCTCACTGACGATTTTGTTGATCCAAGAGCAACATGACACCAACTACAATTTAGGAAAACTGTTTGAGCCAATGACTCACCATCTTGCGCAGCTTGACAACGCGAGTGCCTCCATTCTTGTCTCCGCCAACAGTCTTGGTGATTGTGGATGGAGTCTTGACCTTCAGCTTCTTCTCAATCTGAAACAAGCAAGACACTTCAGTACACTACACATACAAACTTGAAGCCTAACAGGTCCAATGTAGAGAACCAAGGGGACAGCTTCCCCCAGCCTGTGTGCCTCCCTTCTCTCACCTTGGTCTCAGTGGTCTTGGTCTTCCTCTTGTACATGGCCCTGCGGGCATACATGGCGGTGCGGGAGTAGCGACCGATGCCCCTGGCCAGGACAGGGTTCCGGCTGCAATGAGCCTTCTTGGCCACTTTCTTCTTGTCTCCCTCTGCCATCTGGGGACAGACCAGGGGACCAGAGTAGGTTAATCACATGGATACAATACTATAGAACAATATTTATAGAATAGAATTACAGGATACATTGCTGGTGAATCATGAACTGATCATGCTGGCCAGCTAGATCCTTTGACGGTATGATGCTCGGAGGTTGCAGGTCATAGGTTAGGAGAGCTAACAAACTAAGTTGGGCACATATGTGGCTCCAGATATTCAATAACAGGTAACCAAAATATTGGTTTGTCATTTTCCAATACAGTATAACCAGCAGGCCCCATACTGGGTGATGGCCTTTTAGCCATTGTTAAGTAGTTAACGTTAGTTTCCCATGAACATTTCGATAGTACACATCTGCGACTTGCTAACATAACAGAAACAAATGAATGCCAGCGTGCAGGTAAAACGTTGACATTTCGACAGTTTGTTAACTAATTAGACACGACAGACTTGTCAATTTGCCAGAGTTCGCAAAAACACCTCAAACTGGAGAAAGTGTACACGCACGCATGACAACGTTATACCATAGCTAGTAGCTACATCTAGCAACCTAGTTGGTTAACCTTTTGACTATGTTTGGGTAATTCTCTATAAGCCATTACACATACATAAGTCCAATCCCCTGACAAGCCACTATCGTATAATCAGGGTACATAAACGTAATATTAGTCTAACGTGAAATCTGCTCAAGAGTTACAATGCGTTGCGCTAGCATGTAGCCGTGGGCCTAAACTTCCGAAACATAAAGCAATTTATTTATAAGTCACCACACAAATCACAACAATTTTCATATATATTAACTGTTTAGGATACAAATAACATTCCCATGCGAGTGGGAAATTGTTATTGAGTCCATTTTGCACAGATGAACACCGATTTTATTTATGCCGTTATGTGGGGAGAAACCATTCTTACCTTTGCTATGAAAAAAAGACCGACATCCGGGGAAGTTACGCATATATCTACGTTGCATGTGACGTCGACGTAAGGATGCAAAAACGACGCGAAAAAATATTGATGCTTGTAGTTCAGAGAATCAATAAAATAAAACAATTTGTAATCAGTAAATATTTAAGCAATAAGGCACGAGGGGGTGTAGTATGTGGCCAATATACCACGGCTAAGGGCTGTTCTTATGCACGTCGCAACGCGGAGTGCCTGGATACAGCCCTTAGCGGTGGTATATTGGCCATATACCACAAACACCCAAGGTGCCTTATTGCTATTATAAACTGGTTACGAACGTAATTAGAGCAGTAAAAATAAATGTTTGTCATACCCGTGGTATATGGTCTGATATACCACACCTGTCATCCATTCAGCATTCAGGGCTCGAACAAACCAGTTTATAATGTAAATTAAAACATGTAAATACTGTATTTGTATGATAAAATGATTAATGACTGAGTCATATTTGTCATTTATGGACAAATCTACATTTTATGTCAGCTCTTAGCACTCATGATAAAATAATGATGAACTGTCTTTGAAAATCTACTGTATGCACCCATGTAGCTCAGTTGGTAGAGCATGGCGTTTGCAACTCCAGGGTTGTGGGTTCGTTTCCCATGGGGGACCAGTATGAAAAAAAAAAATGTATGCACTCACTAACTGTAAGTCCCTCTGGATAAGAGCGTCTGCTAAATGACGTAAATGTAAATGCACCCATACCAATCTGTACAGACTCATACAAGTTTTTCTCAAAGGGTCAGTTTCCAGGACCCAGATTATGGTGGCGTTCCAGGTCACCTACATTGCAGTCACACTGTGCAGAGCAGTAGATTGCTATACTGATGTGGTTCCTGAGATAAATACCTCTCCAGGCATTATGACATCCCAAACACGGAGTATTCTTGCAATAGGCCTAGTAACATAATATCCTGTAAAGAATGTGAACAACAATGTTAATCCAAAATGTATTGATTATTTTTTATTTGGAAAAATCTAACAAATCTTAAATGCAACCTTACAGTTTACATGTTAACACACGTACATATCTAGGGCAATGGTGATCCCTGCAACGGAGTGATAATTCATATTCAAACACAAGGAGAGAGAGAGGCTGTAAGGAAGAGGCAGAGGCATCTCTCCTTCCACAGAAAGCAACTTTACCCCAACTAAACCGCACTTCTCATCTCATTTGTTAATATGCTACAGCGAGAGGTAAATAGTATGTCCTATGAGCTAGCACTGTTTTCAAGGCAAACAAAGACAGTCCCTTACAAAAAATTGATTTAGCCCTTCAGATTCACAAGGCCTCTTTAAGCAGATACATACAGTATGGTTTAGAAACATAAACATTTAGAAAAGGTAAAAGGAAGCATACAAGGAGTGAGTTTATCACAGACAGTGTTACTAAACACCCTCGTTTCTGTGTTTAGGTAAACAGCAATCGTTTTCTGGAATAATTGACGAGTGATGAGATCTTGTGTGTTTCTTCGAGTATAGATGGTAGAGTCTTGGGATGTTTCAAGTGTGCATCAAACATACAAAGAGCTTGGAGGGTGGATATTCTTACATTTCAAGTCGATGCAACCCGGTGTTTCAACTCTACATTGGACAAAAATCTGAAGTTGCATTCGAGTGTGTATATGGCATGTACTCTACTGGGTATGTAGGGTGTGGTGTATTTCGAGCGTGGATGGTATTGAAAGTACACTTGAGTGTGGATGGTACAGAATGTACCTTTCTGAGTATGTATGTTACAGTAGTACACTTCTGTGTGTGCATGGTTTGGTCTCTTCCTCAGTGAGTGTTCTCTATGATGATGGCGATGCCCTGTCCACCACCGATGCAGGCTGATCCCACAGCATACTTTCCCCCAATCCGCCTGAGAAAAGGAAAAACCACAAATTATTCATTAAACCACTCCTCTGTGACATAACATGAATTGCTCAGCATTCGAATTGTCTTATTTTTTTCTAGTTAAAAACCTTTGCCTGTTCCCTCACATGGGACAACAATGAATTGTTCAGATTTGATTTGACAGTATTTGTCTACATATTTACAGAGTGATAAGTGATCCGGAGTAGTAAGAAGACTACCGGTGTGGTGGGGTTACCTGAGCTCGTGGACCAGGTGCGCAGTGATGCGTGCTCCTGAGGCTCCTAGGGGGTGACCGATGGCAATAGCCCCCCCATCAGCATTACTCTTCTCTGGGTCCAGACCCAATGCCTTGGAAACCGCCAGGTACTGAGCAGCAAACGCCTCATTCACCTGAGCGACAGCAGAGGGGAAAGAGAGAGAGAAGGACAGGAGAAGTCAGAGCAGGAGAAAGAGAGAGAGAGACAGAGCAAGTGAGAAGGAGAGACAAAAGGAGGAAGTCAATTCTATAGGGTAAGCTACATGAGCCAGAGTACACCAAAACAGAGCAACCAAATATCTGCATCAGTTCCTATTTATGAACTTAAAACAGACGAGCATACCTCCACCAGATCCATGTCTTGGAGGGTGAGACCTGCTTTCTTCAGGGCTTCAGTGATGGCTTGAACTGGGCCTGATGGGGGAGAATGACAGAACCTTACCAACAGAAACCACTAGACGGCCATGCTAGAAAGGCCTGTATTGGGATGTATCATATGTTTTCATCAAGTACATAAGCCATTTGTTGTCAGTCACCCACCGATTCCCATAATGCTTGGGTCACATCCGGAGACGTGATATGCCACTATTCTTGCCAATGGGGTGAGCTTGTGCTCCTTCACAGCTTCCTCACTGGCTATCACCACGGCAGCAGCTCCGTCAGACACGCCCTGTGGAATAGGAACAGAACAGTGGAATAGGAACAGAACATGAAGAAGAGTACATTCAAAACTAGCACACAGGATTTACGCCCAGCACACTAAAATGATCTGCACTCCATTTAAAACCGGTGTGCTTGGGGACAGACTGAATGTGATACTCTGTTGGCAGAAGATGGTAGGAACTGGGTGGAAGAGCTTGGGTCCAGAATTGAATCAGTCTTGTTTAGTACTCACTGATGCATTGGCAGCAGTGACCGTTCCTCCCTTCTTGAAGACAGGGGGTAGCCTAGCCATCTGCTCCAGGGTGGTCTGGGGGCGAGGGTGCTCGTCCTGGGTCATGGATACCTTGCCCTTCTTAGCCTTCACATCGATGGGCGCGATCTCTGCCGTGTAGTGGCCCGCCTCGTGGGCTAAGGTTTAGAGAGCACACAGACAAACTCAGGGATGTGGTTAGCATTCAGATGGAAATCTGGAAAAACTGTTGGTAATATGGTAATATGCAGTTCATTGTCATAATATTTATGAGGACAGATAATCAGGAATCACTGATTAATCAGGAGAGAGTCTTCATGCCTAAGGTAAGGATTGTAAACATGTGAGCTTAGTTAGTTTAAGGGTTGACTACTGACCTGCCTTCCACCTCTGCTGTGTCTGGTGTGCGTATTTGTCACAGTCGTCTCTGCTGATTTCGTATTTCACTGCCAGATTCTCTGCTGTGATGCCCATGGGGATCTTAATGTGCAGGTCAGTAAGCCCTGCCCACAGAGTGTCCTCCAGCTGAGACAAAGGAAACAGAGAACATGTTAGCTTAGTCCTTGGCATTGGTTTAGAGCAGCTGTTAAAGGGCTTGTGGTCAAAAATGACAAAATCTATACAAATTTGGTATTTTATCTCTCCTCATTTATTAATTCAATACCTTGAGGTCGAGTCCGAACTTGGTTCCGAAGCGGACGTTGCGGACAGCATACGGCGCCTGGCTCATGCTCTCTGAGCCTCCACACAGTACCACCTCTGAGTCCTTCAGACAGATTTCCTACAGAGACACAGACACACACAGGATCTTAAAGAGGACAAAGGTACAAGGCTGCTAAACCATGCACCTACAATTGACCTACATGACCTACAAACAACAAAATTGTATGTTGACAATGTGGCAGAAATGACTTTACTGTGGTCTCTGTGACCCATAACTTTGCATGTTATAGTTCATAAATATGTATTTTTGTAGTGTACAGTGGGCAGGAGTCCAGTTCAGACAGAGGTATTAGAAAAATGCTTAGTGGAGAGTAGCACTCATGGCCCGCGAGGGGGTCCAATCCAGCCCGTGGGTGGTTTGAGTAAAAACAAAACAAAATGTATATCTATATAAACGAACTCAATATACTTTCAAATGACAAAAACAAATCAAAACTTTGTAGAAATGATAATGGACCTATACTCATAGAGTTTATTGACTGTCCAGATCACTAATAATCACAGTGCACAGTCAATGGAACTACATTAATCGTTTCTTGACTCTCCAGCTAAGGGAGCATAGAAATTCCAAAAGCGATAGATAGAGGACTATGTTTCGCACATTTTGATGGCAAGAAAATATAACCCCTTTTCAGTGCGGCCCTCCGGACCTCGTTGAAGACCAAATGCGGCCCCCGGAGCAAAATTAGTTTGACACCCCTGGTGTAGACTATGTAGAGTCTCAGTGTTTATATGTCTACTATACCTGAGCTCCATTGATGATGGACTGAAAGCCGGACCCACACAGGCGGTTCACGGTGAGAGCAGGCACTGGGATGGGCACCCCACACCTCAGACCCACATGACGGGCGATGTATGGAGCATCTGCAGAGCTCTGAAGGGAAGGAGATTGGGAGAGAGCGGTATAGTCAGCTCACACATTTCCTTCCTTCAGTTTATCCTTGCCTCTGCTTGCTTTTTGGAGTTTTAAGCACACCTGCATGACGTTTCCAAAGATGACACTGTTGACAAGCTCGGGTGCCACTCCCCCAGCGGCGAGAGCAGCCTTGGAGGCATGCTCTGCTAGGTCTGTTGCACTGTGGTCTTTCAGAACCCCGCCGTAGGTGCCAAACGGGGTCCGCTTAGCAGACACAATAAACACATCTGGATGGAGAGAGGAGGGAGAGAAAGAAGAGTGGGTGTGAGGTGACTAATCCATCTTTACTGCAGTTTTAGAGTTGTTGATGACATAATCTGAGTGAATATCTAAAGCAATACAAAATATTGGACTTGAAAAGGGCTGCCTTGCCTAGATTCACTGCTTGAGAGTCCTGTTATAAAACTCCACAGCAGTGCCATTGTAATTATCATGTAACTAAGAAGTGTCACTTTCACCTTTACCCTATATTCATCTCCAACTCGCCTAGCCTTTAGAAATGTAACGATACAGAGAGGCATAACTGACAGTTGTTAAACTATGTGGCAAGCCGACACTTGACAACCAAGAAATAGCTTTGTTTACATGTAGAGACAGACTGACAGCAGTCATTCGTTCATTGAATAGTGACAGCTCCAAAGACAGGAACAAATTAATCAGTTGAAAGTTGATTGTTTTGATAATCTATGAACACTAGCTAGAAATTTACCGACTGTCAGGAGCCACCTGGTTATTATTTTGCCGACGTTAACGTTTGTTATGCAGTAATTTATGCATAGCTACCTTTGTGTTGCAGAGCAAGGAAAGCATATTTATAGAAAAGCATGCATTTCGTGGTGCGTGCGTGGTTTATACTAAATAACAAAATATAACTTACTTCTGAGAAGTGACATAATATTGATTCCTCACGTCCACGAAGGTCAATGTATCTGTGTGAATGGAGTGTGAACTTAAGGGCGCTTGGCAAATCTTGACCTTTTACCTAAATAATGTGTAACTAATCATTGAGACAACAACATTCGATACAACGAACGTTTCATGTTCAGATGGTACTGCAAAGACATTTTTAAATGGTTACTGGTATAATATTTATTCAGTGATGTCGCTATGTCTAATTGAAAACTGTGTATAATGTTACCAATTGTATATCTCTGACGTAACCAGATCAATGTTAAAACAATGGGATCGAAAGTGACAATGTGAAACTCGAGCTGAATGTACGTCATTCTCTCAATTTTCAAGCAGGACTTCTGTCCTGCGACTGTTAATGGGACAGCAATAATAACTTTTATTTGACGTGATTAAACACGAATCAAATAATATAGCAATCATGTCTCTGGCTGTATCGCGTACCCTGTGTAGGGTATTGTCCCGACAGACTGCAGTGCCAAGGTGAGTTGTAACATGCAGTGTGTGCATAGCTATCAATGTTGGTTAGCATAGGCAAGCTAACGTTGCTACAGCAGTTGAACATTTAGCTACATTTTGTATTTCATTCTCTCATGGTGGTTGATGCATGATTTTGTCGTCCAATTGTATGTTAAAACCTGAGCCAGTTGGTTAGCTAGCTAAGTTATGTATTCACTGCAGTGCTGTTACAGTGGCTAGATTTAGCTAACTAGTACTCCCCTTCCTCTGAGTTACTATTCTGAACAGCTCTTTGATGGGAGTGAATGGTCATGTCAGACAAGGTCCTTGTTGTCTTCAAAGGGTTTGTTCTCTGGTGCACTTCAGTTTCTGTCGTCTACTCTCTTTGCTGTTTGCTATAGGCACCATTTGTTATAAATGCATTACAGGCTCAACTCTCACTCATTCTGCCTATGTGTGCTCTTACAGGGCGGAGCCCAAGAAGAAGAAGAAAGTGGACCCTCGTAGAGCGCAGATGGTGAGAGAGACTGAGCTCATTCCCATAGAAGACTTCATAACCTCTGCCAAATGCATGGATGAGGCCAGGTCTGGCTCACACCTTTAGTGCTTGAATTAATGGAGTGGCTGACAGTCCCATACAAAATCAGGGCACCATCATCAGATATACTATGGTGGGCACCCCCTACTATTGGGCACATCCATAAATGTTGAATATTCACTGTTGCTTCACCCCCAATAGTGGCTTAGTTTGAACCCTGCTTACCATAGTGATCTCCAGTGGCGATTTTAGCATGTCAATCTTACTGGGGCAAACAAAACAAAAATGTGAGATGCATGCCAGCAAAGCCGCTACACACCACTAAACAATACATTAATTGCACTATAACTGTGACAAACAGTGCCCACAAACTGTTAGGGCCTACATAAAGCTGTCCCAACATCTTACCACTGCTACACTTGGCTATCAGCGGAGCCTTGTCTGACAGTGAAACAGTTAATTCAGCCTCATTTACTGCCTTTAAAAACATAGCTGATATATATATATATATATATATATATATATATATATATATATATATTAATTGTACCTTTATTTAACTAGGCAAGTCAGTTAAGAACAAATTCTTATTTACAATGACGGCCTACACCGGCCAAACCCGGACAACGCTGGGCCAATTGTGTGCCGCTCTATGGGACTCCCAATCACGGCCGGTTGTGAAACAGCCTGGAATCGAACCAGGGGGTCTGTAGTGACGCCTCAAGCACTGAGATGCAGTGCCTTAGACCGCTGCGCCACTCGGGCTGACTTGCTTAAACAAATGTGGTTTCTAATGACAATTGAGATGTACAAACTTTGGCAGGGGTATTCAAATGCAATTTGAGAAGGTCCAGTCACACAAATTTCCTAAGTGGGAAAGGTCCTGATAGAATAGATATTTTAATGTATCGGTGCTCTAGTACAGCATAGTAACAAACTTACCATTGTCCATATTATGATTTGGGATACAAGGTTTTATATCAAATGTTTTCAGGACTACTATTAAATACATTAAATGAGACCAATCAGATACATTTTAATGAATTACAAACAACTTCTTTATTTTGATTGTGAAAATGTGCATTGTACAGGCTGTACTGTAGTAGTAAGTAGGCTATTACTATTTTGTGATGCAACATTTACCCATCTGAAGGTCTGTTTTGCTTCCTCTGAAAACTCTGACATTTGTGACCAAGAAGGGGTTCTGTAAGAACAGCAGCAGTTGTCTTCCAAGAGCAAAGTCATCAAAGCGAGCCTTGAAGTTATCCATCAGCTTCTGTATGAAATCACCATGGTGGGGCACATCTTTCTCTCCCTTGGTTTGCTCCAAAAGTTTGGGGAAGTGGACAAGTTCTCCCTGGAGATCAGTCTTAATAATCTGCAATTTTCTCTGGAAAGCCCGGACTGCTGTTATCAAATCACACACTGTGTTGTTCTGTCCCTGCAGCTTAACATTGAGCTCATTAAGATGTGATATAATGTCTGCCAAAAATGCAGCTGTTTGCATTTTCTCCACATCTTCCAAAAACTCTGTAAACTAAGTTGCCTTTTCACTCTTTTGCTCTGATAGGAAAGATTTGATCTTCTCCCGAATGGCCCAAAAGCACTCCAAAACCCTGCCTTTGCTGAGCCATCTGACATTGTTGTGCAGTACTAAGTCATCATAGCTGGCATTAACCTCTGTCAGAAAGCCTCTTAGCAGATGATGCTGTAGGGATGATGATGCTCTCAAAAAGTTTCTCTGTTTCATCATTGTTGTCATGACCTCAGCATACACTTCTCCCAGACTGGCACACAGGACAGATTGGTGGATGATGCAGTGGTAAGATGTCAGGTCAAGGTGGTCCTCTTTCAACCGTGAAACCAGTCCCCTCCCTCTTCCTATCATGGCTGGAGCTCCATCTGTGGTGATGGAGACCACCGACTTCAGATCTATTCCCCTTTTTGTCAGCATCCCTTTGATGGCCTCATGAATGTCCTCTCCTCGTGTGTGTGCTTCAAGAGTTGTTAAAACCAACAGGTCCTCACAGAATTCCTTTTTTGTTTTGTCATAAAATCGCACAAAAACCATAAGCTGGGCATTATCGGTGGTATCTGTTGATTAATCCACAGCTAAAGAAATGCATGGTGCATTCTGAATGGCCTCAAGTTGTGAAATCACATCTTCAGCTAATATTTCAGTTATCCAAATTGCTGTGGAATCTGACATTGGGATCTGTTTGATATTTTCCTTCAGCTCATCTTTACCATCAAGCAAGGTCTCAGCAACTTCACTCATGCATTCTTTAACCAGCTTTGCGTCAGTAAATGGCTTATTGCGTTTCCCCAAAACCCAAGCTATTCTCAGTTAGCACTCCATTGCACGTTCTTGGGCTGTCAGGGAATGCACAAGAACTTTGGTGGACCTCGCATATTGGGCTTTGAGCTGATTTATTTTTCTCGTTCTCACCTCTGTGTTTTGGGGATTCGTTTGCTTGAAATGACTGTTTTGTGTCATAGTGGCGCTTCACATTGGCACTTTTCACGAGCGCTACGGACTCTGAGCATATCAGGCACATTGGTTTTGAACTTGTTGCGGGGAGAATTAATGCGTACTTGTCTGTCCACTCGTCTTTGAAAATGCGATTTTCGCTATCAACTTTTATTTTCTTTGAACAAGACATCCTCACATTCACGACGTCTATCGATTGACGTATTTCCGTGTGTGTCTACTTGCTCCCAGTCCCAACACCGTCTTTCACTGTCGAAGATATTTGCATATATTTATGCGGTTGGATGAGACGCGGCTCTCTTCTTGGGACAAATGTGCATAAATGCACGCTTTTGGATAGGACGCGGCCCCAGCTGGTGTTTCTTCACCCCTGCCAGAGACAGAGAGAGGCTGCGCTGCACTTGGGAAACGGCGCCGGGTCGATCATGTTTGAAAGCTGTCTGAAATCAATTAACTGACTTCGATATCGTTTGGTGCTGTTCGGTCCGTATTGATCCTTTGCTGGGTACGGACACGGACCGTGGTCCGACATTGGAGTATCCTTAACTATGTCATAAGGGGACGACAAGCTGATAAGAGGCAATCCGTAATTTCGATTAAGACATTAATGAGCGAGCTAGGAAGGACGTAGTCAAATAACTTTGTTTAGCACTTTTGAAATGCACAGCACCAGAATTCAGAACATGTGCTGTTCTTACAGTTCTTCTTCCTGTACACCAAGTCAGAACCATAGGATAAATAAAGGGGGCATATAAGCAGACAATAAAAGGTCTTACAATATTGGATGGTTCCATTTCTCTAAAACAGGTTATAGGCTACATGTGCACCACCAAGTCAGAACAGTAGGCAAAATTAAGAGGAGAACATTGACCAAATTATTAGGGTGAGGCACATGGGCTACTAACAGCTTACTACACAACATACACATATGATTACTTTCTTAGTTACAGTATACATATCTCCCTGGCATATTACATAATTTATGCAGCAGCATACAATACATTTTTGGACTCACCTTGTTGTGCTGTGCTCACTTGTGGTCCTCTGTAGCTCAACTGGTAGAGCACGGCGCTTGTAACGCCAAGGTAGTGGGTTCGATCCCCGGGACCACCCATACACAAAAATGTATGCACGCATGACTGTAAGTCGCTTTGGATAAAAGCGTCTGCTAAATGGCATATTATTATTATTATTATTTAACAGGAAGGTGGCGCTGCAGTCCTTCGTGGGCAAATTTTCTCAAAGTCTGGCATTCTCTAGATTTATGGTGCTTTCAAGACAACTGGGAACTTGGAAAAAAACAAGATCGAATCATGATTACGTCAATGATCCTTAGGCCGTAGCTCTAGAAAAAGGCCAGAGTTTTGGATTTACAATTCTGAGTTGGATGACTGTTCAAAACGTATTTTCCCAGTTGGAGCTCGTTTTTTCCCAAGTTCCCAGTTGACTGAACTCACTGAAGTCAAGTTTTCGCAGTTCCGAGTTAACAGTTGTTTTGTGCACGGCACAAATCATGCTTCATTGACAGCATGGCCAATGTTGAATGTTTATCATTTTAAACTTGGAAAATAAACCCTTAATCCCAGATTTGGGACCACACAGCCACTCCACTGACTAGCAGGCTAGTGATTCCTTTGCAATGCTTGCAGTTAGCCACTGATTCCTTCCAAACCACTCATTGTTGAATTTGCGATTTCCAACTGGTTGTGTAATGTTTATGTCCAATGGCCGAAGAGCACCGATATGTTTTGTCTATAATTTATCTTCATATGACAAGGATTAAAAAGGATTTGCCAGTAGATTGTCGACTTGATTCATGATGACTGCTAGCTAAGATTTTGAAAGTATGATGTTGACATGATCAGTCCAATCAAAGCTACTTTAGATATAACGTGATTTGGCGTCATTTTATCTGTGGCCAATGACCTTGAGCCTTCTTGGATGGGCACTTCTAATGTAACTCTATGGCAGCACCCAAGGGGCTTGAATTTTCGATCTCTACTCTTAGATTTAGCAGTGATGTAGTGTCCCCATGAGTGACAGAATACTGAGCCAATCACGGCGCAACTAGTGAACATTAACACCTACTCTCCGTATTTTCTGCTGGCTGCCCCACCACCACAGAAAGCACTGAGCTAGGCTGAAACACCTGCATTTTGGAGCTGCCTTACTCAAGAAAGCAAAAAAGAGACCATGTTTGTATTGGGCTTTATTAACTCAATGTTGTTGTTGTTGTTGTTTTTACATTGTTTGCAAACTGATATGTGACACCTATTAATGCCAAAATAACATGCAAAACACCTGCCCTGAATGACGGGTCGCCACTGGTGATCTCTAGCAATAGTCATACAAAGACTGGAACCATTTTCAGCACTAAATCAGCTGATGGATTGAATTTAATATTTGAGTACATTTTGTCAATATGTGTGACGCTGTGCTTAACCGATTGTTCTGTTGAGTTACTCATACTTATAGTATAATCACACTATTAGTGCAATCCAAATGCATTGCTCTGTCCTAATGTACACCTGAACAGGTCCCTACTCTATTTGTTAATTTCCCCTAGGGTGCGCTGTGTTCCTCACCTTCCCTGTGAGGAGAGTGAATGACAGGCTCTACTGCTGAAGGAGTGGTCCTGCTACAAACAGGTATGTGATCTTGTAAGCCAATGTTGGTCGTAACTTTATCACAGCCCTGTTAAATATCCTTATTTAGAAGAAAAAAAACAGTGAGCAGACATTTACAGTACCTTCTTTGTAGACATTTTGTTATACCCAGTTCCTGTGCCATATTTTAATTTCTTTCCATCCTGCCCCGCTATGAGCAGACCCAGCACCGGGTTGAGATGGAGGCAGTAGGCCTGGCTGTGGAGGCCCAGAGGGATGCTTTGGAGGAGCTGAGGCTGGAGTCAGAGGAGCTCTACCAGGCATCACTGAGGCTAGACCCCCTGCTTGTCCCTTTCAACCACCAGGGACCCAACTACACAAGGCCCAGAATGAGGCACCTGAGGGCAAATACATCACCACCAAAGTTTACACCCAGTGAGAGGGTAGGGATATTAATTAACATTGTGGGTGTAACACGTGTTGACATGGTTGTTACATCCTCATGTTTTTACATGATTTGAATGGACAGACTAAATATTTGACGGGATGTTCATGAAAGAAGATGAGACATGAAAGCTTGCTCAGAACAACAGCCCGGGCACCAATAGTGGATGGATGTCTCATTCAAAGTGTAAGGTAATTCAACCGCTTACCGACCAGAGGACCATGACCTATTCATTGTATTGACAACTGCCCTATCATGGATTCACAATTCACACTCATGAAGTGATTCACATTCTGTAGTGTGTGTGTGCTGTATTGTTACACCTGAGTGGCGCAGTGGTCTAAGGCACTGCATCGCAGTGCTAACTGTGCCACTAGATCCTGGTTCGAATCCAGGCTCTGTCGCAGCCGGCCGCGACCGGGAGACTCATGGGCGGCGCACAATTGGCCCAGCGTCGTCCAGGGTAGGGGAGGGAATGGCCGGCAGGGATGTAGCTCAGTTGATAGAGCATGGCGTTTGCAACGCCAGGGTTGTGGGTTCGATTCCCACGGGGGGCCAGTATAAAAAAAATATGTATTCACTAACTGTAAGTCGCTCTGGATAAGAGCGTCTGCTAAATGACTAAAATGTAAATGTTACATTCATAAATCTCATAGGTTTAAATACAGCCTGTAAGGAAAACATACCGGGGGTTGAAATAAAGGATTCACATTAGTTTTATTTGAAATGCATTTTTATGTAACACTGTAGATAAGGTATCATGTGAAATAATAAAGGCAAAGATCCTGTGTAACGGTGTTACAGAAACACTGGCCTCAATTGCAATAGGTAGAGAAACATACAAGCTCTCACTATTTTGAGTCTCTTTCCACACAATGACTAGACAAAAACAGTCAGAACACTGGTGCGGGACCGAATACTGTATGGTGCGCTTACCCTTTTCCCAATCCAGTATCTCTTTTAGCTGTTCCCAAAAATATTATTTCCCAGTATACGCACATATAAAGTATATACACACACATTTTCATTTGTATAATGTATGGAAAGAATGTACAGCACCTTATTACTATCAATAACTGTGTTTTTGATCGGAGTAGAACTTTGTAGCAGTAGAGAACACCGCCCTAATACCAGTGAAGTGAATTGGACACCTCCGGAAAGAAAATCTATGCCAGAGTGGTTTTGTTACTAGAGAGCAGGCTTTCCCCCAACCAAGCCCAGCACTAAAACACCTTTCTAAACATGGTTTCAACTGAACCAGTAAGAGTCAGCCGGTTAAGCTCAAGAACATCAAGATAGAATACATTGTGTAGAACATACATTCTGCCATGAACAATTATGACTCGTTCCAAAAAATGCTTGTACTTTAAAATTCTAGCTTCAATGTTGTCAATAGATTGCTGTGAATAACCCCCAGGACCATGGCTCCCTAGCCACAATCTCTACAGTGAGAGGGAAGCCAGAAGATTTGGTTAAGTTTATGTAGCGAAACAGATCTCAGATGCCACATTGACATTGGTTTGCCCATGTTTAGGGCCATGGTAGTGTTGACCCTGGGGATGGTTAGGACTGGGAATCTGGGGGCTTGCCCTGGTGCAGGGGCATGTGCCAATCTCTGGGCGGATCTCGTCTCAGGTCCCACACAGGGGTGAACTTCCTCTGCTCCGCCTCCCGGTTCCTCTCACTCTGCTGTAAAGCATCCTGTAGTAGGGACAGGATAAGAGAGAGACAACAGACCGAGTTGGTTGGTTGATCTTTCACAATTGAGTCATATTACAAATGTACCCTGTACAGAAGCAAACTGTAGCCAACATTTCTGGACCTTGATGGCAGTTTCCCTGTAAATACAGTATTGCTGTTCCAACGCTGCTTAGGCCATTTCCCCTCGCAGCAGAAGTGATGATTGAGTGCTAAACTGTACCTTGGTCTCTGGGCCTGGGTTCTTCTCCCACTCTCTACATGAGTAGTAGTCTTCTTTCCACTGCCCGCAGGAGGGGGATGTGCCATGGGCATAGTAGTTATGGAAACGGTTCCACAGGCTTTTGCAGTGTCTGAATTCACTCCAGTAGTCATCACAGGTCCGGGGCGGCTATGGCGGTCACATATTACAGGTAAATAGACATGGAAGCATATGACGTGATCCAGTTTAATACTTCCGCCATATTTACACTGAACAAAAATATAAACACAACATGTAAAGTGTTGGTCCCATGTTTTATGAGCTGAAATAAAAGATCCCAGAAATGTTCCATATGCACAAAAAGCTTATTTCTCTCAAATTTGTTTACATCCCTGTTAGTGAGCATTTTTCATTTGCCAAGATAATCCATCCACCTGACAGGTGTAGCATTTCAAGAAGCTGATTAAACACCATGATCATTACACAGGTGCACCTTGTGCTGGGGACAATAAAAGGCCACTTTAAAATGTGCAGCTCTGTCAGATCTCTCAAGTTGAGGGACAGTACAATTGACATGCTGACTGCAGGAATGTCCACCGGAGCTGTTGCCAGATAATTTAATGTTCATTTCTCTACCATAAGCTGCCTATAATGTCATTTTAGAGAATTTGGCAGTATGTCCAACCAGCCTCACAACCACAGACCACGTGTATGGCGTCGTTTGGGCGAGCGGTTTGCTGATGTCAACATTGTGAACAGTGCCCCATGGTGGCGGTGGGGTTATGGTATGGGCAGGCATAAGCTATGGACAACAAACACAATTGCATTTTATCGATGGCAATTTCAATGCACAGAGATACCGTGACAAGATCCTGAGGCCCATTGTCTGCCATTCATCCGCCGCCATCACCTCATGTTTCAGCATTATGCACAGCCCCATGTCGCAAGGATCTCTACACAATTCCTGGAAGCTGAAAGTGTCCCAGTTCTTCCATGGCCTGCATACTCACCTGACACGTCACCCATAGAACATGTTTGGGATACTCTAGATCGCCCGCGTGTTCCAGTTTCCGCCAAGATCCAGCAATTTCGCACAGCCATTGAAGAGGAGTGGGACAACATTCAACAGCCTGAAACTATGCTAAGGAGATGTGTCACACTGCATGAGGCAAATGGTGGTCACACCAGATACTGACTGGTTCTGTTCCACGCCCCTACCTTAAAAAATAATAATAAGTATCTGTATTCCCAGTCATGTAAAATCCATAGATTCGGCCCTAATTTATTTATTTCAATTGACTGATTTCCTTATATGAACTGTAACTCAGTAAAATCTTTGAAATTGTTGCATTTTTATATTTTTGTTCAGTATACATAGGATGATAAATGTACAGTAGGAATCGATTCCTCGAGCATTGTTCTACATTTCCTGAATGTGAGAGCAGCATTTCATTGTGTTAGGGCTGTGTTGCTATTTGATAACTGAAAGACTAGCTGGCGTTCAGTTCCAGCATAATCCGAGTTCAAGAAGTGCACACAATCGTGAGGCCTTGACCGTCCACTAAACAACACCTATCAAAGTGCCAATTTGCTAGATACTAACTAATCTACGGCTAATTGGTTCTAAAATCGACATTCTCTCAAATCAGAGGATCTGGCGAGAGAAGAAAACCTTTGCTCAAGTTCATGCTGTCCCTTTCAATGTGGTTTTAGCTTGCTAGCTAACATTTACATTAGCCTCGTACAGCAGAGCACATACCGAGTCGTGTAACGCTAGTTAGCTACAAATGAGTTACATTGGTGACTAGGCCCTTTAGTGAAATACGATGACCTTACGTTTTCATAAACAATACATGAATGTGGTACATTACCCTCCACATTGCTCCAGAATCTGCCATCACCTCCGTTTTTGCCTTTTGACAAGGGGACGTAAACAGCCAATCAAGCACGGTGAAAAGGTCGTCACTAGTTACCATAGCCACAAAGTCATAAACCCCGACTATTTCTATAATTCTTCTTCTTAAAATGTTATTTTAAACCTAACCTTAACCACAGTGCTAACCTTATGCATACCTCTAAATTAATACCAAAAAGCGCATTTTTGTTTTTATGATTTTTTACGATGACTTTGTGGCTGTGGTAACTAGTGGAACAACTGAAAAGGCAGGAGTCCCATCCACCCACTTCCGGTAATGAATGAACTCGAGAACAACGGAGATTTGCAGAATTATACAATTACAATTATTCACATTATTGTTTAAGTTCTTCTATCCCTTTACTGTGCTTTATTATTGACACACTTATGAATTACAATATGTAGGTTTTTCAATACCTACTGAAACACATTAACTTTAAGCTCTATAAGCCAATATGTTAGAATCTTTCCACACACAAATTATTTAAAGGCAAAAATAAACAGAGATTTATACAGAGTGCACATTATTCAAAACGCTGTACTTTATTTCAGAGTTGATAAATAAACAAAGGAAATGGCACTTATCCACCACTCATCACTCTCAAAGTTAGAGTAAAACAGGTTCCAATGTCAGCGTTTCCAAATTAATTGGATACATATTCAAAGAAAAATCTAACCCAATCCATCATCAACATTAACAAGGGTTATCCCATTATGAGGAAACAAGGTAGAAAAATGTTTATATTTATCATATTGTAGCGAAAGGAAAGGTTAGCTAGCTTTAGCTGGGCTCAAACCAGCAACCCTGTACTCTAACCACAGGAGGTTGGTGGCATCTAAATTGGGGAGGACGGTAATTGCTGGAACGGAACAAGTTGAACGGTATCAAATACATCAAACGCATGGTTTGATGCCATTCCATTTGCTCCGTTCCAGCCATTATTATGAGCTGTTCTCCCCTCAGCAGCCTCCACTGACTAACTACCATTCAGTTTTTTCATAAGTGCTTTTAACATGCTGACCATGGACAAGACCATTACATTATGATCAAAGGAAAGTAAAACCTTGCTGATTCCTGCTAAGGGACAGAAAAATGAACCCAGCTCTTTTCATTACCTGCTTTTATTGGTTTCTTATGTTGGGTGTGTGGGTATGTAGAGTACAGTAAGTCAGTCAGTCTCTGCAGTTGAATACTGTAGTGCCTCAAGGCTTTCTACCACCTTTCTTGCGTAGTGACTGTCCCTCACCAGAGAAGGCGATGAATTCTGAATCCTCCTGAAAATAAATAAGACCAGCTTCTGCTTAATGCATAACAATTTGGCACATCCAATTTGAACTATCTAAATATGGCCTTTATGTGTGTCATTCAGTATTTGTAGGAAAGGGATTGAGCAGTTTATTACATTTTCCTTCTTTGACCATCTTACTTACATCCTCTGTTGTTTTCCTGGGCTGAGGCCTGGAGTTTCTGATAAAGGTGATCCTGCCAACCTTGTACTCGTAGTTAGGAATCCCTCTGTATGGGGACAGGGAGGGGTTAAAGGTTAAGATCAGAGCTGATGTCATGTCACATGTAAGGGTGCAAAATTCCAGGAACTTTTTATAAATTCCCTTTGAAAGTTACGGAATTTTGCAACCCTAGTCACATGTGCATCCAGGGAGATATGCAGCTCTGATCTGCAAATACAAAAGTCACAGGATATGGGGAAAGGGCTAGGGGTTGTTTTTAGACTGGTCATAGCTCCCAACCTTTTAATGTCACTGGGATCGATGGGGACGGGGCTAGGCTCAATGCCTTTCTTTTTGCCATCCAGACGATTGCCTGAACCAGTGAAGGCCTATAGAGAGAAGAAGTATTCATAGATTCATTAATGGGTTAAGTTGAAAATGAATGTGCATGAGATACACATAAATGAAAGTGAACATGAACCATACAGTATGTGTACAAACTGCAGTAAGTAAGAAAAAAATAAGAAAACTCACTCTGAATCTCATGTCCATGTCAGTCCAAGTGCTGGGGTCTCCTTCCTCCTCCTGTTGTGAGGAGTGATTAGAGTTAATCAAAACATACAGTATAAACACTGAGACCAGATTAGAAATATAGGCCCCGTGTAGCTCAGTTGGTAGAGCATGGCGCTTGCAACGCCAGGGTTGTGGGTTCGATTCCCACGGGGGGCCAGTATGAAAATGTATGCACTCACTAACGTAAGTCGCTCTGGATAAGAGCGTCTGCTAAATGACTAAAATGTAAATGTAAAATGTAAATGTAAAATATTCAACATGTGTGGTTCTTACTTTGGGCTCCTCTGGTGCTTTGTAACATCTCTCTGGTTCTTTGTAACCCAGTGGAGCATCAAAGTCCACCTGAGAGACAACAACAGGTATGGCTGAGTGAGGTAGAGCTATTAGGTACCATAATCTAAGCTATAGTGTTGTGTCTCCATTTATGCTATGATAGATAGTACAGAGGATCTTACATTCATATCACATTCAATGATAGATACTGCCTTGTCTGGCTTAGTCTCCATCACTCGCAGTTCATAGATCTGAAATAGGTATAGAGAGGAAAAACAGATGTTAGAAAGATAACAGTTCAAGCACAACTGCATCCCACAACATTCTGCTGGAAAGTCAAATTCCATTACAGTTTTGCTTTGTAACCCAGTCATCATATCATACCAATAACTTTAAACAGTTACCTTTTCATTGTAGTTAATTGCGATAACATCTCCTGTGGTTAAGCAGGCAAAGTTTCTCAAGGCATTTTCCAACCTATGAGACAGAGAAGCAGAATGTGAGAATAATTTCAGAGTAGTTTGTGTCTATTTTCAATGGCACTTGAATGTGCAGAGGTAAGTAATTAAATGTCTATTACTGTACATACACTGCTTTGGGGTTAGTGATATCCAGGAAGTCTGGGCTCTGAGGCTGGAACTTGGAGTATGTGGCCACCATGAGATTAACGCTCTCCACCTGAACCAGGCCTCCTTCCTCCAGCAGGAGATTCTGCATCATCTACAGGGAAAACACACAGACAGCCATGTCACTAAAGACACACTACACACAAAGGGTCATGACCACAGGGAGCTGGCTATAGGTGAGCAAATATTTTAATGTGTGTGACTTATAAACATACACTGTATGTCCCCAATTTAAAGCATCCTTTGATAGAAAACTGAAATATGGCATCAGATTTATGCCAGGGGCTATGAGAATGTTTATTAAAACCTCACCCAGTGTGGCAGGTAACAAATACCCTCATCTGCTACAAACTCCAGGACACCACAGTGTGTCATTCTGTCTGAGTTCTTGTTCGTCAGTTTGAACAACATGGGGTAGGTGATGTTAAGTCTGCCTTTGGGGGAAAAGAGTGAAGGGTAAAAATACAATCTGTTGGGTAAATGGCATTTGTAGATCAGAGTTTAAATCTGGATAAAGTAGGAAGAGTATACTTACTTAGTTGGTCAAGTGCAGATGGCGGCATTATAACTATAATGAGAAAATATTACAGCGATATGAGCACTGAAGAACACTTAGAGCAGGATAATAAATAATACATTGACAGTATGAGGGTAACTGCAATCTCTACACTCACTTTTGTATGGGGAACTGGGGCAAATCATAGCTATTAAACTCCATACATTCCTGGTATAGTTATGATGTATTCGAATGTCTACAATTTATAGAACAGCCATCACATAGATTACTTACTTTTTCCTCCTTTCTCCACATCTGACCGGTCGTTGGGACCCGCCAGCATGGACACAGAGTAGCAGCGGTATTGAGTGGAGAAGCGGTTTTGGAAAGCCCGTGGGATCGGGTGGTCAAACATGTTGAAGGAAAACTGTGACAGATATTTAGAAAAACAAAAAGGCAGTGAGGTTAGGTCAAAATAATATATTTTGATACAGTTAGCCAGCTGGTTACTGTACCTAACTTACCCTGACTTATTTAAAAACCAACCTTTCATTTCAAACATCTTCATAGTTACTAGCTAGCCTACTGTAAAACTAGCTGACAAGTGACACCCTATATCTTTTTAAAGCGGTACGATTCACAAGTAAAGTAGCTGAGCAAGGTAGATATTCATTTTGTCTTTAATCGCACAGTGACAGTGCATCTTTCCTTTGAGTTAAATTGCTAGCTAGCTAGCTAGTGAATTTCGAATGCGATGTGGTTAGATTAACTACTTTTTGACATAAGCAACAGTCAAAACCAGTGTTATTGAGTACTTACCATGATTAAAAGTAGCACTCCAAGCGTTATATATCAAAATGTATAGAATAAAGCTATAATAATTAGCTTGTTTTTTCTACTTCTTCTATTAAATAGCTTATTCTTTCCGACAAACAGGCTGCTGGCTGAAACTCCAATGTTGTCTTCCGCTTAGCCACGATGACAGCAGGAAGTGACGAATATCAAAATCGCCAATCAGAATCCCAAAAGCAAGATTATTTCCTAAGTGATTGGCTCAAAGAGCTGGATGGATAGATGCCTACCTACCTGCATGCAATTTCTATTTGTTCAGGTTTACACAAACTCTACAAAGTGGAGTTTTATTGGTTGTTTAAACTTCGGAGAACGCCGGAAAGTAGGATAGCTAGCCAGCCGCCAGGAGAGGGATTTTTGAAATCGTTGAAAAATAAACAAACTTTACTCTGTGTGGCGGAGGTTCGGCACGGCCGTGCTGTGAATGGGTCAGAGATGGTAGGAGATAGTGATGGAGAGGAACGTGAAGCAAGTATGGAACATAGTGGTACAAATAAAGGAGGGAGTAAGAAAAAGAAAAAGAAAGCGGGAGAGAAGGGGAGTAGGGAAATGAAGGGGAGCAGGGAAATGAAGGGGAGCGAGAGGTCTACGGAGGTAGAGGTGGCAGAAAAGGAAGTTTGAGGAGAGCAACCTAGCTTCCATCGCTAGCGGAAGTTCGGAGGTAGAAAGTGCAGAGGAAGGGCAAGATAAGACACGAGAGGAACATGGAGGTGAGGAGGAGCATAAAGTGATTATGAAGTTTAGGGAGGAAGGGGGAGTTGGGGTGATGAGTCCGATAAGGTTGACGGCTGTGATAAAATAGTTGATTGGGGAAGTTGTTAATGCTAAAGTGTTAAGAGATGGGAGATTGTTGGTGTGCTGTAAGGACATGGCGCAGAGGGAAAAAGCTATCGGAGTGAAGAAAATAAGGAAGTGTAAGGTGGAGTCGAGCAGCTGGACTGATCAACCAGGGAAGCAGTGGAGTAAATGGGTGATTAACAGGAGTGCCTGTGAGTGTTAGCACTAAAGAGTGTCAAAGTTGCGTCAATTCAAATCTGGCATTAGGAACAAAAGAGGTCAACACAACTTCTAAGATATACTAGTTATTTTAATCAATGCAAAAACCTTCAATGGTAAATATGATGTTTCGTATATACGGGCTCCCCGATATGCCTCGCAGGGAACTCGGAGAACTAAATCCATTGTTTCAGATTGTTCTTCAAATACTCTTACAGAGAGAGAGTTTCCCACCTCTCTGTTGGCCAATCAGAGTAGACGCTTGAGCGTGGTTTAGACTTACTCAGCCAATCCGTTGACGCACAGGCTAGTCCCCCGCCTCTTAGCGCATCCCTGTTTCCAGGCATACGTTTATCATAACAACCTGTCATAGTGAGAAGAGCCAGCTCCCTTAGACACCATTCCTACGTCCAAGGATGGTTCACAGATCACAAAGGGGCAGTATAGTCTAGTATTTGGAGACACAAATCCTTATCTCATTTTACCCCCTAAAACAGCTCTTCACATCAATCACAGCTTGCCTGGTGACACAACCTACATCAGCACAGTCCAGAATGCATTCTTTCTAAGTTAGTCATCCCATCAATTAGGAGAATAATAAATCCCCCATAAGAGGTAAGGGAAAATTTGAGAGGAGGCGTTCTAGTGAATGTACACAGATTGCAAGCAACAAGGGGTGGAGATAGGGTAGATAGCAGGTCTATTCTGTTGCATTTTAAGGACCGGGTACTGCCAAATAAGATAACAATAGGATATATGAGTTATTATGTGAGGGCTTATGTACCGAAGCCTTTAAGATGTTATAAATGCCAGAGGTTTGGGCATGTGGCAACAGTCTGTAAAGAGAAAAAGAGGAGAGAATGAGTATGGGAAGTGTGGAGATGGTGTACATCCAAAGTGCTGCAACTGTGGGGGTGCTCATAGTGTGGCATATAGTGGGTGTGAGGCTATGAAGAAGGCAGTGGAGGTGCAACAAGTGAGAGCGGAGAGAAGGGTGTCATATGCTGAGGCAGTGAGGGTGGTCCAGGAGAGAAGGGTGTCATGCTGAGGCAGTGAGGGTGGTCCAGGTCCAGGGAGAAACAGGTTCAAGGGAGAGATGGGTAGGAGCATCTAGACCGGGGATCACGGGGCAGGTGGGCAGCGATATGGTATACATAGAAAAGAGAAAGCTTTTGACGTTCATAGCAGGAGCTATCAATAGCACTGATAAAGTAGAGTCTAAAACTAATAGTGAAAGCTGCTGGGAGACATTTGAGTATGACAGGGTTGACATGGGAAGAGGTTCGAGATAACCTCAATCAGCCGATGGTGGAGTCATGTATTACTGGATCTTAGTAATGGGGGTAGTACTACAATGGAATGCTCGAAGCCTGTTGGCTAATGGGCAGGAATTCAAGCAGTTCATTGTTGATATGATAGCTAAGCCTGATGTGATTTGTGTGCAGGAAACATGGCTCAAACCGAATGTGGAGTTTATCATACAGGGATATGTAGTGGTTCGTAGGGACCGAGATATAGGGGGAGGGGGGATGTGCCACCTTCATAAAGCAAGGAATTCCCTACAAGATGATAGGCAGGAGTATGTGGTGGTGGAGGTGTGGCTGAGAGGAGGGGTGCTAGTGGTAGTGAATTACTATAATCCGTGTCAGATATTGGAAATGGAAGTGCTGGAGAGGGTGGAGGGCCAGGAAAGTAGTAAGGTAATGTGGTGTGGGGATTTTAACGCCCACAACACGCTTTGGGGGCGAAACGGATGGATGGAAATGGCCAAGTGATGGAAAATTTGATAGAAAATAAAGATCTGGTGTGCCTGAATGATGGCCGAGGGACCAGGATTGATGTAGCCACAGGGAAAGAGTCTGCCTTGGACCTCACTCTGGTATCTAGTGCGATGGCAGGAATATGTGAGTGGGAGGTATGGGAGGAGTCGACAGTAGGCAGTGATCATTACCCCATTGTATGCACAGTATTCTTTTTTTTTTTTTTTACTTAACACTAAAAAATAAAACTTTAAAAAATGCATTGTTGGTTAAGGGCTTGTAAGTAAGCATTTCACTGCAATGTCTACACCTGTTGTATTCGGCGCATGTGGCAAATAACATTTGATTTGATTTGAGTAGGCCGGAGGGAGGAGGAGTTGTTAGTGGATGGAGTAGGTCTGCTAAATGACTAAAATGTAAATGAGTAGGCAGGTGGGTGTTTGGAAGGGCAAAGTGGGATCAGTTTCAGGAGCTGAGTGAGCAGGTGATGGCTCGGGTGGATATGAGAGGGGATGTAGATAGTATGAATAACTGGATGAGAACAGCATTAGTGGGGGCAGCTACTGAGGCTATACCTAAGAGTTCAGGGAGGAGGAGGAGAAAAGCAGTCCCATGGTGGACAGAGGAATGTGAGGCAATGGTGAGGATTAGGAACAGGGCATTTAGAGTACTGAAAAGGACGCATAACTTCCAACATCTGATTCAGTATAAGCAGGCCCAGGCCATGGTGAGGGGAACTATCCGTCAGGCAAAGAGGTCATGTTGGCATCGGTTCTGTGACACCATTGGAAGGGCGACACTTGTGGGAGAAGTGTGGGGGATGATTAAGAGGATGAGTGGGATTATCCAGTGTTGATGAGTGCGGAGGATGTGGCAGTAACAGATGAGGAGAAAGCAGAGATGATAGCCAAAGCATTTGTCCAAGTGCATAGCTACGTAAATCTGTCAGAGGAGGGGCAGAGGGGGGGAGATAACACGAGAGAGGAGCATCCTGGAAGCTGGAAAGGAGGGAGGATGTAAATGATGCGTTGAGTGCACCATTTACCAGGGAAGAGGTGAAAAGAGCAATAGGTAAGGGTGGGTTAACGTAACCTGGGAAAGATGAGGTGTGCTATGTTGTGTTGGCCCATCTTCGTAATGAGGCACTGGATAAGGTATTGGTGTTGTACAACAGAGTGTGGGAGGAGGGGAAACTACCAGGCAGTTGGAAGGAGGCAGTAGTGGTACCAATCCGGAAGCCCGGGAAGGATCCAACGAAGCCAACAAGCCATCGGCCAATAGCTTTAACATCCTATGTATGTAAGATTATGGAACGTATGATTACGGAGAGGCTAACTTACTTCCTGGAGAGCAGAGGGCTAGTAACGCCATATCAGAGTGGGTTCAGGAAGGGTAGGGGAACTATGGATCCAGTGCTCTGCTTAGAAGCAGAGGTCAGGAAGGCTAAGGTGAACAAGGAGACTGTTGTAGCTGTCTTTTTTGATGTGGAGGCGTATGATATGATGTGGAAGGAGGGGTTGTTAATCAAGCTTGATATTATGGGGGTAGGAGGAAGAATGTACAACTGGATAAAGGACTTCCTGTTTGGAAGGTCTATCCAGGTGAGGGTGGGTAAGTCTTTATCAGGCAGGAGAGCGTGATTAGTCCTCTGTTGTTCTCAATCATGATCAATGATGTTTACGCTCAGGTACACCCGGATATACAGTGAGGGGAAAAAGTATTTGATCCCCTGCTGATTTTGTATGTTTGCCCTCTGACAAAGAAATGATTAGTCTATCATTTTAATGGTAGGTTTATTTGAACAGTGAGAGACAGAATAACAAAAAAAAAATCCAGAAAAACGCATGTCAAAAATTTTATAAATTTATTTGCATTTTAATGACATTTTAATGACTATGGTCCCAGCTGCCTTGGGATCATTGACAAGATCCTCCCGTGTAGATCTGGGCTGATTCCTCACCGTTCTCATGATCATTGCAACTCTACGAGGTGAGATCTTGCATGGAGCCCCAGGCCGAGGGAGATTGACAGTTATTTTGTGTTTCTTCCATTTGCGAATAATCGCACCAACTGTTGTCACCTTCTCACCAAGCTGCTTGGCGATGGTCTTGTAGCCCATTCCAGCCTTGTGTAGGTCTACAATCTTGTCCCTGACATCCTTGGAGAGCTCTTTGGTCTTGGCCATGGTGGAGAGTTTGGAATCTGATTAATTGATTGCTTCTGTGGACAGGTGTCTTTTATACAGGTAACAAACTGAGATTAGGAGCACTCCCTTTGAGTGTGCTCCTAATCTCAGCTCGTTACCTGTATAAAAGACACCTGGGAGCCAGAAATCTTTCAGATAGAGAGGGGGTCAAATACTTATTTCCTTCATTAAAATGCTAATCAATTTATAAAATTTTTGACTTGCGTTTTTCTGGATTTTGTTGTTGTTATTCTGTCTCTCACTGTTCAAATAAACCTACCATTCAAATTATAGACTGATATTTTCTTTGTCAGTGGGCAAACGTACAAAATCAGCAGGGGATCAAATACTTTTTTTCCCTCACTATAGGGAGGTCGTTATTTGCAGATGATGGTGCCTTATGGAAGAGGAGAAGAAATGTGCCATACATAGTCAGGAAGGTACAGGAAGCAATTGATGAGGTAGATCAGTGGGCATTAATGTGGGGATTCAGGTTCTCTGTAGAGAAAACTCAGTGTTCCTTACCAGGAGGAAGGTGGGAGATGAGGTATGCTTGAGGTTATATGGGAGAAACCTGGAGAGGGTGGGGGCCTTCAGGTTCCTTGGCGTATACTTTGATACTAGACTGACCTGGGCAGAACACATTGAGAGAGTGGTGGGAAAGTGTAAGAAGGTGCTAAATGTGAAGCACTGTCTGACGGGGAAGGAGTGGGGGGCTGGGCGTTCCTCATTGAAGACCATGTATGTTGCATTGATCCGATCTGTAATAGACTATGGAAGTATAGCATATGGTTCTGCAGCCCGGATCTCACTGGAAAGGCTAGATGTCATACAGGGGCAAGGATTCAGAATATGTAGTGGGGCGTTTCGGATGTCCCCAGTAGCTGCATTACAGGTGGAGATGGGGGATATGCCGTTGCAGATTAAGAGACAGCAGCTGGCAATTAATTATTGGGTCAACCTACAAGGACATGGGGTGTCTCATCCTGCGAAAGGGATTTTACAGGCATGCTGGGAACATGAGCGAAGACCGAACACGAGCTTTGGGTGGGTGGGTAATACCCAGGCGAAGGAGATGGGACTGTATGGAAGGGAGTTTAGTCCAACGGTAGCTATTCCTGTAAAGCCACCATGGCTACTCCCGCCTCCAGTAGTTGATCTAGAAGTGTTGGAGAGACTACAGAAAGATAGGGAGGGGGTTGATCCAGCTGATTTCTTTAAGAGACGTCTGGAAACTGTGTATCAGGATTTTGTGGCCATTTACACAGATGGTTCAAAAGATCCTAGGACAGGACGTACTGGGTCAGCATTTGTAGTGCAGGAGTGTGGGGTGGAAGTCAGGAAACGTATTACAGATCATCTGGCTGTATACAGTCGTGGTCAAAAGTTTTGAGAATGACACAAATACTAATTTTCACAAAGTCTGCTGCCTCAGTTTTGATGATGGCAATTTGCATATACTCCAGAATGTCATGAGTGATCAGATGAATTGCAATTAATTGCAAAGTCCCTCTTTGCCATGAAAATGAACTTAATCCCCCAAAAACATTTCCACTGCATTTCAGCCCTGCCACAAAAGGACCAGCTGCCATCATGTCAGTGATTCTCTCGTTAACACAGGTGAGAGTGTTGACGAGGACAAGGCTGGAGATCACTCTGTCATGCTGATTGAGTTAGAATAACAGCCTGGAAGCTTTAAAAGGAGGGTGGTGCTTGAAATCATTGTTCTTCCTCTGTTAACCATGGTTACTTGCAAAGAAACACGTGCCGTCATCATTGCTTTGCACAAAAAGGGCTTTACAGGCAAGGATATTGCTGCTAGTAAGATTGCACCTAAATCAACCATTTATCGGATCATCAAGAACTTCAAGGAGAGAGGTTCAATTGTTGTGAAGAAGGCGTCAGGGCGCCCAAGAAAGTCCAGCAAGCGCCAGGACCGTCTCCTAAAGTTGATTCAGCTGCGGGATCGGGGCACCACCAGTGCAGAGCTTGCTCAGGAATGGCAGCAGGCAGGTGTGAGTGCATCTGCACGCACAGTGAGGCGAATACTTTTGGAGGATGGCCTGGTGTCAAGAAGGGCAACAAAGAAGCCACTTCTCTCCAGGAAAATAATCAGGGATAGACTGATATTCTGCAAAAGGTACAGGAATTGGACTGCTGAGGACTGGGGTAAAGTCATTTTCTCTGATGAATCCCCTTTCCGATTGTTTGGGGCATCCGGAAAACACAAGACAAGGTGAGCGCTACCATCAGTCCTGTGTCATGCCAACAGTAAAGCATCCTGAGACCATTCATGTGTGGGGTTGCTTCTCAGCCAAGGGAGTTGGCTCACTCACAATTTTGCCTAAGAACACAGCCATGAATAAAGAATGGTACCAACACATCCTCAGAGAGCAACTTCTCCCAACCATCCAAGAACAGTTTGGTGACGACCAATGCCTTTTCCAGCATGATGGAGCACCTTGCCATAAGGCAAAAGTGATGACTAAGTGGCTCGGGGAACAAAATATCTACATTTTGGGTCCATGGCCAGGAAACTCCCCAGACCTTAATCCCATTGAGAACTTGTGGTCGATCCTCAAGAGGCGGGTGGACAAACAAAAACCCACAAACTCCAAGCATTGATTATGCAAGAATGGGCTGCCATCAGTCAGGATGTGGCCCAGAAGTTAATTGACAGCATGCCAGGGCGGATTGCAGAGGTCTTGAAAAAGAAGGGTCAACACTGCAAATATTGACTCTTTGCATAAACTTAATGTAATTGTCAATAAAAGCCTTTGACACTTATGGAATGATTGTAATTATACTTCAGTATACCATAGTAACATCTGACAAAAATATCTCATAACACTGAAGCAGCGAACTTTGTGAAGACCAATACTTGTGTCATTCCCAAAACTTTTGACCACGACTGTATACGGCGGAGCTGATGGCCATACTGTTGGCCTTGCAGTGGGTGGAGGAAGTTAAGCCAGACAGAGTAGTTATTTGCTCTGATTCATGTGCAGTGTTGATGAGTCTCCAGTCCTTTAGCTCATGTAGCAGACAAGACCTGCTTTATGAGGTGCTACAAACCCATGGCAGGATTAAACAGATGGGTATTCAGATAAGATTTACTTGGGTTCCAGCCCATGTGGGGGTGGAGGGGAACGAGGCAGTAGATTAATAGGCTAAACAAGCACTTAGTAGTGGGGATGTTGATGTTGAAGTGTCAATGAGCAAGGCAGAGGCAAAAAGACTGATATACAGTTGAAGTCGGAAGTTTACATACACTTACGTTGACTGTGCCTTTAAACAGCTTGGAAAATTCCAGAAAATGATGTCATGGCTTTAGAAGCTTCTGATAGGCTAATTGACATAATTTGAGTCAATTGGAGGTGTACCTGTGGATGTATTTCAAGGCCTACCTCCAAACTCAGTGCCTCTTTGTTTGACATCATGGGAAAATCAAAACAAATCAGCCAAGACCTCAGAAAAAAATGGTAGACCTCCACAAGTCTGGTTCATCTTTGGGAGCAATTTCCAAACACCTGAAGGTACCATGTTCATCTGTACAAACCATAGTACGCAAGTATAAACACCATGGGACCATGCAGCCGTCATACCGCTCAGGAAGGAGACGCGTTCTGTCTCCTAGAGATGAACGTGGTGAAAAGTGTAAATCAATCTCAGAACAACAGCAAAGGACCTTGTGAAGATGCTGGAGGAAACGGGTACAAAAGTATCTATATCCACAGTAAAACAAGTCCTAAATCGACATAACCTGAAAGGCCTCTCAGCAAGGAAGAAGCCACTGCTCCAAAACCACCATGGGGATAAAGATCGTACTTTTTGGAGAAATGTCCTCTGGTCTGATGAAACAAAAATATAACTGTATGGCCATAATGACCATTGTTATGTTTGGAGGAAAGAGGGGTATGCTTGCAAGCCGAAGAACACCATCCCAACCGTGAAGCACGGGGGTGGCAGCATCATGCTGTGGAGGTGCTTTGCTGCAGGAGGGACTGGTGCATTTCACAAAATAGATTGCATCATGAGGAAGGAAAGTGATGTGGATATATTGATGCAACATCTCAAGACATCAGTCAGGAAGTTAAAGCTTGGTCGCAAATGGGTCTTCCAAATGGACAATGACCCCAAGCATACTTCCAAAGTTGTGGCAAAATGGCTTAAGGACAACAAAGTCAAGGTATTGGAGTGGCCATCACAAAGCCCTGACCTCAATTCTACAGAAAATGTGTGGGCAGAACTGAATAAGCATGTGCGAGCAAGGAGGCCTACAAACCTGACTCAGTTACACCAGCTCTGTCAGGAGGAATGGGCCAAAATTCACCCAACTTATTGTGGGAAGCTTGTGGAAGGCTACCCGAAACGTTTGAACCAAGTTAAACAATTTAAAGGCAGTGCTACCAAATACTAATTGAGTGTATGTAAACTTCTGACCCATTGGGAATGTGATGAAAGAAATAAAAGCTGAAATAAATCATTCTCTCTACTATTATTCTGACATTTCACATTCTTAAAATAAAGTGGTGATCCTAACTGACCTAAGACAGGGAGTTTTTACTTGGATTAAATGTCGGGAATTGTGAAAAACTGAGTTTAAATTTGGCTAAGGTGTATGTAAACTTCCAACTGCAACTGTGTATGTGTGTATATACAGTGGGGAAAATAAGTATTTAGTCAGCCACCAATTGTGCAAGTTCTCCCACTTAAAAAGATGAGAGAGGCCTGTAATTTTCATCATAGGTACACGTCAACTATGACAGACAAATTGAGAAAGAATCCAGAAAATCACATTGTAGGATTTTTTATGAATTTATTTGCTAATTATGGTGGAAAATAAGTATTTGGTCACCAACAAACAAGCAAGATTTCTGGCTCTCACAGACCTGTAACTTCTTCTTTAAGAGGCTCCTCTGTCCTCCACTCGTTACCTGTATTAATGGCACCTGTTTGAACTTGTTATCAGTATAAAAGACACCTGTCCACAACCTCAAACAGTCACACTCCAAACTCCACTATGGCTAAGACCAAAGAGCTGTCAAAGGACACCAGAAACAAAATTGTAGACTTGCACCAGGCTGGGAAGACTGAATCTGCAATAGGTAAGCAGCTTGGTTTGAAGAAATCAACTGTGGGAGCAATTATTAGGAAATGGAAGACATACAAGACCACTGATAATCTCCCTCGATCTGGGGCTCCACGCAAGATCTCAACCCGTTGGGTCAAAATGATCACAAGAACGGTGAGCAAAAATCCCTGAACCACACGGGGGGACCTAGTGAATGACCTGCAAAGCGCTGGGACCAAAGTAACAAAGCCTACCATCAGTAACACACTACGCCGCCAGGGACTCAAATCCTGCAGTGCCAGACGTGTCCCCCTGCTTAAGCCAGTACATGTCCAGGCCCGTCTGAAGTTTGCTAGAGTGCATTTGGATGATCCAGAAGAGGATTGGGAGAATGTCATATGGTCAGATGAAACCAAAATAGAACTTTTTGGTAAAAACTCAACTCGTCGTGTTTGGAGGACAAAGAATGCTGAGTTGCATCCAAAGAACACCATACCTACTGTGAAGCATGGGGGTGGAAACATCATGCTTTGGGGCTGTTTTTCTGCAAAGGGACCAGGACGACTGATCCGTGTAAAGGAAAGAATGAATGGGGCCATGTATCGTGAGATTTTGAGTGAAAACCTCCTTCCATCAGCAAGGGCATTGAAGATGAAACGTGGCTGGGTCTTTCAGCATGACAATGATCCCAAACACACCGCCCGGGCAACGAAGGAGTGGGTTCGTAAGAAGCATTTCAAGGTCCTGGAGTGGCCTAGCCAGTCTCCAGATCTCAACCCCATAGAAAATCTTTGGAGGGAGTTTAAAGTCTGTGTTGCCCAGCGACAGCCCCAAAACATCACTGCTCTAGAGGAGATCTGCATGGAGGAATGGGCCAAAATACCAGCAACAGTGTGTGACAAAGTATTGAGAAACTTTTGTTATTGACCAAATACTTATTTTCCACCATAATTTGCAAATAAATTCATAAAAAATCCTACAATGTGATTTTCTGGATTTTTTTCTCATTTTGTCTGTCATAGTTGACGTGTACCTATGATGAAAATTACAGGCCTCTCTCATCTTTTTAAGTGGGAGAACTTGCACAATTGGTGGCTGACTAAATACTTTTTTCCCCCACTGTATGTATGTATGTATGTATGTATGTGTGTGTGTGTGTGTGTGTGTGTGTGTGTGTATGTATGTGTATGTATATATATATATATATATGCGTTCAAAAGTTTGGGGCCACTTAGAAATGTTATTGTTTTCGAAAGAAAAGCAATTTTTTATCCAATAAAATAACATCAAATTGATCAGAAATACAGTGTAGACATTGTTAATGTTGTAAATGGCTATTGGAGCTGGAAACTGCTGATTTTTAATGGAATATCTACATAGGCGTACAGAGGCCCGTTATCAGCAACCATCAATCCAAGTTTATCATTTTAAAAGCCTAATTGATCATTATAAAACCATTTTGCAATTATGTTAGCACAGCTGAAAACTGTTGTGCTGATTAAAGAAGCAATACAATTGGCCTTCTTGAGACTAGTTGGATATCTGGAGCATCAGCAATTGTGGGTTCGATTACAGGCTCAAAATGGCCAGAAACAAAGAACTTTCTTCTGAAACTCGTCAGTCTATTCTTGTTCTGAGAAATAAAGGCTATTCCATGCGAGAAATTGCCAAGAAACTGAAGATCTCGTACAACGCTGTGTACCACTCCCTTCATAGAACAGCGCAAACTGGCTCTAACCAGAATAGAAAGAGGAGTGGGAGGCCCCGGTGCACAACTGAGCAAGAGGACAAATACATTAGTGTGTAGTTTGAGAAACAGGTGCCTCACAGGTCCTCAACTGGCAGCTTCATTAAATAGTACCCGCAAAACACCAGTCTCAATGTCAACAGTGAAAAGGCGACTCCGGGATGCTGACCTTCTAGGCAGAGTTGCAAAGAAAAAGCCATATCTCAGACTGGCCAATAAAAAGAAAAGATTAAGATGGGCAAAAGAACACAGACACTAGACAGAGGAAGATTGGAAAAAAGTGTTATGGACAGACAAATCGAAGTTTGAGGTGTTCGGATTACAAAGAAGAACATTTGTGAGACGCAGACCAAATGAAAAGATGCTGGAGGAGTGTTTGATGCCATCTGTCAAGCATGGTGGAGGCAATGTGATGGTCTGGGGGTGCTTTGGTGGTGGTAAAGTGGGAGATTTGTACAGGGTAAAAGGGATCTTGAAGAAGGAAGGCTATCGCTCCATTTTGCAACGCCATGCCATACCCTGTGGACGGCGCTTGATTGGAGCCAATTTCCTCCTACAACAGGACAATGACCCAAAGCACAACTCCAAACTATGCAATAACTATTTAGGGAAGAAGCAGTCAGCTGGTAGTGGCCAGCACAGTCACTGGATCTCAACCCTATTGAGCTGTTGTGGGAGCAGCTTGACCGTATGGTACGTAAGAAGTGCCCATCAAGCCAATCCAATTTGTGGGAGGTGCTTCAGGAAGCATGGGGTGAAATCTCTTCAGATTACCTCAAATTGACAACTAGAATGCCAAAGGTCTGCAAGGCTGTAATTGCTGCAAATGGAGGATTCTTTGACGAAAGCAAAGTCTGAAGGACACAATTATTATTTCTATTAAAAATCATTATTTCTAACCTTGTCAATGACTACATTTCCTATGCGTTTTGCTATATTTCCTATTCAAACTCATTTCATGTATGTTTTCATGGAAAACAAGGACATGTCTAAGTGACCCCAAACTTTTGAACGGTCTGTGTATGTATGTATATATATATATATATATACACTGCTCAAAAAAATAAAGGGAACACTTAAACAACACAATGTAACTCCAAGTCAATCACACTTCTGTGAAATCAAACTGTCCACTTAGGAAGCAACACTGATTGACAATACATTTCACATGCTGTTGTGCAAATGGAATAGACAACAGGTGGAAATTATAGGCAATTAGCAAGACACCCCCAACAAAGGACTGGTTTTGCAGGTGGTGACCACAGACCACTTCTCAGTTCCTATGCTTCCTGGCTGATGTTTTGGTCACTTTTGAATGCTGGCGGTGCTTTCACTCTAGTGGTAGCATGAGACGGGGTCTACAACCCACACAAGTGGCTCAGGTAGTGCAGCTCATCCAGGATGGCACATCAATGCGAGCTGTGGCAAGAAGGTTTGCTGTGTCTGTCAGCGTAGTGTCCAGAGCATAGAGGCGCTACCAGGAGACAGGCCAGTACATCAGGAGACGTGGAGGAGGCCGTAGGAGGGCAACAACCCAGCAGCAGGACTGCTACCTCCGCCTTTGTGCAAGGAGGAGCAGGAGGAGCACTGCCAGAGCCCTGCAAAATGACCTCCAGCAGGCCACAAATGTGCATGTCTGCTCAAACGGTCAGAAACAGACTCCATGAGGGTGGTATGAGGGCCCGACGTCCACAGGTGGGGGTTGTGCTTACAGCCCAACACCGTGCAGGACGTTTGGCATTTGCCAGAGAACACCAAGATTGGCAAATTCGCCACTGGCGCCATGTGCTCTTCACAGATGAAAGCAGGTTCACACTGAGCACATGTGACAGACGTGACAGAGTCTGGAGACGCCGTGGAGAACGTTCTGCTGCCTGCAACATCCTCCACCATGACCGGTTTGGCGGTGGGTCAGTCATGGTGTGGGGTGGCATTTCTTTGGGGGGCCGCACAGCCCTCCATCCTGACTGCCATTAGGTACCGAGATGAGATCCTCAGACCCCTTGTGAGACCATATGCTGGTGCGGTTGGCCCTGGGTTCCTCCTAATGCAAGACAATGCTAGACCTCATGTGGCTGGAGTGTGTCAGCAGTTCCTGCAAGAGGAAGGCATTGATGCTATGGACTGGCCCGCCAGTTCCCCAGACCTGAATCCAATTGAGCACATCTGGGACATCATGTCTCGCTCCATCCACCAACGCCACGTTGCACCACAGACTGTCCAGGAGTTGGCGGATGCTTTAGTCCAGGTCTGGGAGGAGATCCCTCAGGAGACTATCCGCCACCTCATCAGGAGCATGCCCAGGCGTTGTAGGGAGGTCATACAGGCACGTGGAGGCCACACACACTACTGAGCCTCATTTTGACTTGTTTTAAGGACATTACATCAAAGTTGGATCAGCCTTTAGTGTGGTTTTCCACTTTAATTTTGAGGGTGACTCCAAATCCAGACCTCCATGGGTTGATCAATTTGATTTCCATTGATCATTTTTGTGTGATTTTGTTGTCAGCACATTCAACTATGTAAAGAAAAAAGTATTTAATAAGATTATTTCATTCATTCAGATCTAGGCTGTGTTATTTTAGTGTTCCCTTTATTTTTTTGAGCACAAATATAAACGCAACATCTGAAGTGGTGGTTTCATGAGCTGAAAAAAAATATCCCTGAAATGTTCCATACGTGCACAAATGTGTTTACATCCCTATTGAGCATTTATCCTTTGCCAAGATAATCCATCCACCTGACAGGTGTAGCATATCAAGAAGCTGATTAAACAGCATGATCATTACACAGGTGCACCTTGTGCTGGGTACAATAAAAGGACACGTTTTAAAATTTGCAGTTTTGTCACACAATGTCACAGATATCTCAAGTTCTCAAGTTTTGAGGGACGGTGCCATTGGCATGCTGACTGCAGGAATGTCCAGCAGAGCTGTTGCCAGAGAAATGAATGTTCATTTCTCTACCATAAGCTGCCTCCAACGTCATTTTAGAGAATTTGGCAGTAAATCCAACCGGCCTCACAACCGCAGACCACGTGTATCCACGCCAGCCCAGGACCTCCACATCCAGCTTCTTCACCTGCGGGAAGGGGGTGCTGAGGAGTATTTCTGTCTTTAATAAAGCCCTTTTGTGGGGAAAAACTCATTCTGATTGGCTGGGCCTGGCTCCCCAGTGGGTAGTCCTATGCCCACCCATGGCTGCACCTTTGTCCAGTCATGTGAACTCCATAGATTAGGGCCTAATTAATTTATTGCAATTGACTGATTTCCTTATATGAACTGTAACTCATTCAAATATTTTAAATTGTATAAATATTTGACTCAAAAGTAGTCAACACAAAATATCTCTCAAGAGACTGGAACTTGTGAATTCAAAAATGAGACTTTATTAATTTGCATAACAAAGCCGAGCTTGCTCCATGGAACAACTGCTTGCCCTGAACCGGAGCTGTCTTTTTATACAGACACAAATGCATAGTCAACATACATAGTTATTCCTCTCTATGTGAATGAATAACATATTTTCATTATCACATGTTGGCTACTCACAGGGGCTACTTGCGCTTCTCTAAATGGGGCCTCTGTATCTTATTAGTGGCGTGACTCAAAAAAGTATGTACATACGTACATTAAAGAACAATCACACTCTGTATTGACTATATTCACTATCCAGACATATATCTGAAGTACAAAGTATCAATCATGTTCATTCTGTTTTACCTTTATCATTTCATAACACATTATAAAACATATCAATTAATACTTAAACATGGTTTAAACATGTCATCCATAACCCATTCTCAACCACATACATTTAAGCATTTATCATTTACCATCCTCCCTGGCCCTTGAGGTTATGTGCATGTGGCTATGTGTCAGGTCATAAGCACAAACAAATGATAACACTAGTTCCATTGTTACTCCAATCTCCACACAGCCACCACGAGGAGTTGTATCTCCATCACATGTCATTGACATACCCAGACCAGCTGCAGGGAGTTATGAAAAACACATAAATGTCTCTGCTCTGTATTAACCCTTCAACTGGTTCTCAATCCATAAACATTTTAAGGCATATAGGTGTTTAATTCTACAACATATGTACTTGAAAATCATCTATAACATTCGCCCCAGTCTGAGGTCCTGAGCGATCTGGAGCAGGTTTTCATTAAGGATCTCTCTGTACTTTGCTCCGTTCATCTTTCCGTCGATCCTGACTAGTCTCCCAGTCCCTGCCACTGAAAAACATTCCCACTGCATGATGCTGCCACCACCATGCGTCACGGTAGGGATGGTATTGGCCAGGTGATGAGCAGTGCCTGGTTTCCTCCTGAAGTGACGCTTGGCATTCAGGCCAAAGACTTCAATCTTGGTTTCATCAGACCAGAGAATCTTGTTTCTCATGGTCTGAGAGTCCTTTAGGTGCCTTTTGGCAAACTACAAGTGGGCTGTCATGTGCCTTTTACAGAGGAGTGGCTTCCGTCTGGCAACTCTACCATAAAGGCCTGATTGGTGGAGTGCTGCAGAGATGGCTGTCCTTCTCCCATCTCCACAGAGGAACTCTGGAGCTCTGTCAGAGTGACCATCGGATTCTTGGTCACCTCCCTGACCAAGGCCCTTCTCCCCCGATTGCTCATTTTGGCCGGGCAGCCAGCTCTAGGAAGAGTCTTGGGGGTTCCAATCTTCTTCCATTTAAGAATGATTAAGGCCACTGTGTTCTTGGGGACCTTCAATGCTGCAGAAATGTTTTGGTACCCTTCCCCAGATCTGTGCCTCGACGCAATCCTGTCTCGGAGCTCTACGGACAATTCCTTTGACCTCATGGCTTGGTTTTTGCTCTGACATGCACTGTCAACTGTGGGACCTAATATAGACAGGTGTGTGTCTTTCCAAATCATGTCCAATCAATTGAATTTACCACAGGTGGACTCCAATCAAGTTGTAGAAACATCTCAAGGATGATCAATGGAAATAGGATGCACCTGAGCTAAATTTAGAGTCTCATAGCAAAGGGTCTGAATACTTATTTAAATAAGGTATTTCTGTTTTTAATTTGGAATAAATTAGCTAAAATTTCTTTAAAAAACCTGATCGCTTTGTTATTTTGGGGTATTGTGTGTAGATTGAGGAAGAAAATTAATTTAATCCATTTTAGAATAAGGCTGTAATGTAACAATGTGGAAAGGATGAAATGGTGAGAATACTTTCCAAATGCACTGTATGCAGAAACCTTAAGCATTGCCACATTTTTGTGGCTGGTTGTGTGTATGCTGTCCTGCCTGTCACCTTCTGCTCTCTGTCCTGCCTTCTTTCTGTGTTTTAACCCCTTGACACAGTGTCTCAGTCTGCGTCTGGCCCTGTACCAACACTGGTCTCTGTATGAGAGTATATGTAACTCCTCTTACACCTCCTGCAACTTCAAGCTCTGGTCCATGCACGGCCAGAAGAAACTCCAAGAGTTCCTTGCTGACATGGGGTATGCTATCCCCAAGTTATGACTGTCAACTAGAATAATCTCTGTCAAATATGCAAATGATCACTCTAGGGACATGCAGGACTCATTATTGTGTATAATTTACGAATCAATTACCGCCAATTAGTCAGTGGCCTCTGAAGGACAAATGCCACTTCATCAAGAGGTGATGAGCAGCAGTTTGTCATTTGATTTATTGATGATAATGGATTGTTTGAAGGATTATCAAAGATTTTTTCTGTTTGTTGTCCAGCCTGCCCCTGAAGCAGGTGAAGCAGAAGTTCCAACTCCATGGACATGTCAATCAAAGAGAATCTGCGAGAAGTCATAGAAGTCTGTTCTAGTGCATCAATATATGGTAACTGACAAAATAATGGAAACGCTTGAGTAAATGAGGGATATAAAGTGAATTAAAAGCAGGCGCTTCCACACAGGTGTGGTTCCTGAGTTAATTAAGCAGTTAACATCCCGTGCTTAGGGTCATGTATAAAAATCCTGTGCAGGCCATTATTTGGGCTACCATAGCCTGTGGATGGATGACAATGCCTCCATCCACAGTACATGAGTGGTCACTGATTGGTTTGATGAGCATGAAAATGATGTATGCCATGGCCGTCACCGGATCTCAACCCAATTGAACGCTTATGGGAGATTCTGGAGCGGCGCCTGAGGCAGCATTTTCAACCACCATCAACAAAACACCAAATGATGGAATTTCTTGTGGAAGGAGGATGTCGCATCTCTCCAATAGAGTTCCAGACACTTGTAGAATCTATGCCAAGGTGCATTGAAGCTGTTCTGGCTGGTGGTGGCGCAGTGCCCTATTAAAGACACTTTATGTTGGTGAGACCTTTATTTTGGAAGTTACCTGTATCTGTAAATATTCCCCAGTATCAATGACTCTGGGTTCCTCCGTCTGACTCTGTATATGATGAGTACAATATTCGCCTCTCTTAATTTACCCAATAGCCCTCATTAAATGCTCTCATCACTGTTCCTTCAGTATGAAGGACATCCGTATCCAGACGTTCGGCGTTCACTTTAGCTTCAAGAACCGTTTCCTGGCCAATGATGTGGTGCATGCGGCTGCCGCCTTGCTGGAGAACACTGAAAAGGACGAGAGCCTTGGCGACAATTTCATCAAGGCCCTTGACTGCCTTTCCAGGTACACACACATAATTGTGCATCCAGGCACATGCACTCACTCACACACACGAATATAAAACAAATAAATCTGGATGCCCTATCATTAAAGGAAAGGTTCACCCATTTTGAATGTTATATTGTTTTTGTGCATATCTGAGTGATGTTCTATCGATTCCCTGGGTCATTTCATGTGTTCATGTGTATCTGAGTTATTGGCATTCAATAGGCAGAAATCCGGGCAGAAATCCGTCCGGTATGATGTAGAACCGTGATAACGTCACTCTCACTACACTGGAAGTTAATAGGAATACGACTTTTAGATCGCAAAAACGTCTCATACATGTCAGACTTCAATAATGGCCGATGTCATAACTCGGGAAGATGTCTTCTCTCGAATGAGCCATTGATCATATTTTTGCGATATTCCAACCTCGAGAAATGTGTAATTAAATGTAGGGTCTAGCACATTTTCCCTATTTGTCTGCCTCTTTAGTCCAGGGTGCATTGCATGGTGCCGATGCCAGAGATATTATATAAAGGAGATAGGAATCCAATGAATGAAGGAACATATAACGCCCCACCCAGCAGACTGTCGACCAATCGCGTTCAAGTTGTCATGTACGTAAAGCGGTTGCTAAGCTAATCGTCACGCAATCCCTTCTCAAAGTCTGTGTATATGTCGAGAAACGTGCCTATTTTCCTCAAGTACGTAATGGCACGATTCCAAAGCTATACTATACTACAGATGGCAAGTTTAATTATCTCACATCTCGGAAAAGATTTGTAATTTTTTATTTCTTGTTGACGAAATTCGTGCTAATGTTGGGTTTTTGAGCTAGCGCCCAATAGACTCCCATTCACTCCTTGAAGGAGAGTATTCCTTGTCCCAGAATAGCCCAGAATGCACCGCGCAGCCCATTGACGTAGCATGGGCAACATTTCCCATCTCCTCAAATGTATATCTGCCGTTGCGAATGTTAGACTCCACTCTGTGAGGCACATGGATCTGCAGGTTGAACATGGTGAGATTGTACTCCGAATTTGATAGCTGTAAAATCATCTAAACAAACTGCGCTATCTAGCTACGTTACATGCTGATATTGTCTTTGGTATTATTGTGTGTAGCTACGTTTGTTAGCTAGCCAGCCAGCCATGCAGCCAGCCCATAGATCGAGCATTGCATTGTGGATTTTGTAGTCGACTTGAGCTGCAACAGATTTCCACAACATTTCCACAAAATATTGTTCTTACATATTAGTGTTATTTAACACTGTAAAAACATTTTTTTTTAAAAATCTGCACAAACGTGTAGCTCAGTTGGTAGAGCATGGCACTTGCAACGCCAGGGTTGTGGGTTCCATTCCAACGGGGGGGCAGTATGAAAATGTATGCACTCACTTACTGTAAGTCGCTCTGGATAAGAGCGTCTGCTAAATGACTAAAATGTAAATGTAAACTGATCCATAAAACGCAACTCACAAATATGTGAGGCCACTCAAATATATGGGGCAACAAATGTAATGCAAGTCACAAATATGTAAAATGTGGATCACAAATGTCACATTCACAAAAACATGCTGTGTTAATCCTGGGGGGGAACTGTCTTGCATTTATTTGCTAATCATTTGTTTTTGTTAAGGAGGACTCATTTGCTTTTGGATCATGACATATGTTTGTGAAACTAAATGGGCATATTTACTTCAATTTTTATTTATGTTGCATTCTGTATTTTCATAACACATCTTCTGTTTGTGACTCCCTACTCGTATATATTAAACATTTTGATATAAATATATCTCCATACAAACGGGATGGAACGGGAGAGGGACCTATCTGAATTTGTCCAATAGAATCTAATTATCATTGCAAAACGTTTTGCTATGGTGTGCACTAATGAATGCACCCTAGGTGTTGGAATGATCCCATCCTGATATCTCTCCTCTCTGTAGGAGTAACCTGGAGTGTCTCCATGGTGGCATTGACCTGGCTAAAAAGAAGCTGATGGCCATCCAACAGACTGTAGCCAGCTGCATCTGCACCAACCTCATACTGTCACAGGGACCCTTTCTCTACTGCTACCTCTTGGAGGTGTGTGAGTGAGATGCCCCCCCTTTAACACTCCTCTCCATCTCTGTGCAGGGCACTCCTGATGTGAAGCTGTTCTCCAAGCCTATGGCTTTGACTCTGCTCTGCAAGTACCTGCTCAAAGCCTTTGTACGCTCTGTGAGTACCTCGCTGTGTTTCACTTACCCATTGTCCAAGGCCCCGTCTAGCTCTATTGCCCCTTGTCTTCAATTAGTTTCAAAAGAAAATGTCGTGTTTAGATGTTCACTTGGGGTCCTTTGCATTGCTCTTGCTTATGTCTGCCTATGCCTGTTCAAAGACAAGGAATAAGCGATGTAAGCTGCTGCCCTTGATCATAGCTGCTCCCATGGATGTGGAGAAGGGAACTGTTATCGTTATGGGCATCCCACCTGAGTCTGAGACATCCGACAAGAAGAAGTGAGTCCATAACGTGTGTCGGTCGTGTGCAAGATTACAGCACTTGAATGTTCTTTATTGTGTTTTGTTTCCTTTCATTTGCTCTGCCTCTTATTTCTCTCACCCTCTCCCCCTCCAATAGTTTATTTGGCCGTGCGTTTGAGAAGGCAGCAGAGAGCACCAGCTCCAGAACTTTCCACGACCACTTCGACACCTCTAGTAGTAAAATGTTCTTGTCATTGTATATATTGGCCACAAGAGAGCAGACACGACACATTACAGGTTGAACCTGTTAGCTGTACACTTGTTTCTTACACACAGTTCAATACTTTATTTGGATCTCATCAGATGCCTCAAGTCATTCTTACAGGTTTAATCATTATATCATCAGGTGTTCAAAAAACATTTCCCCTTGCATCTGCTAGCTGTAATCGCAAAGATGTTGCAAACAGACACACACACATTCATCCTAACCTGTGTTTTCCCTTTGCAGTCATTGAGCTAAAGATGGAGGCCAGGACTAAGTTTCTGGATGCCCTCATCACCCTGCTGTCCTAAGGCACACTGATGTTTGGGTAAAGTTCCTGAAATGTGAAAGCTGTCGATGCCGGAAGAGACTATGACATTACAATTAGGTTAATGCCCAATGTGATGGAAAATCTCTATTGTGTGCTTCACCTCTTTTAGTCAGTGAACAGTATTCCCAATGTTTTGTCTTTTCAGCTCAGGACACTTTGATGCCAATTCCATGTGTATATTGTACAGTTTTTTCGTAAATGTAGTGTGTGCATGTTTTTAATCTCATGTAAATAGTTTTTTTCTGTTGTCTTTATTTTTTAAAAATGTTTTATGTAACACTTAATAAATTATATTTTATCAACATATAATTGTTGAAGCTACCATCTACTAAGAGAAGGAAGGATACATTTCAAACATTGTAATAGGGTGTGTAATAACATTGCTCAGAATATGATATGGACCATAGAAACTGTGATGGCTTAACCATCTCCCTCAGTCTACTGATCTGGAGCATAGGTTAATAGACTTTGGCCCACATCGCAGAATATAACCCCAGTTTCCTGGTTTTAGTTTGGGCTTTGTTCATTACTCTGCTGGATGCATGGGTGTGCTCCAAGCCCCGCTCTATGAGCCCCTTATCTCTCTCGGATCAATCTGCAGTCACGACCCGCAGAGCAGAGGGTGCTGGAGGTTTCACAGGAAAGGCTGATCTGCTCTCCACAGTGAGTGAAACGTGCCAGAAGGAGCATCTCGCCTACTGAGCTCGGGGTTGGGATCTGCATCATAGCATACAGTGGGGAAAAAAAGTATTTAGTCAGCCACCAATTGTGCAAGTTCTCCCACTTAAAAAGATGAGAGAGGCCTGTAATTTTCATCATAGGTACACGTCAACTATGACAGACAAATTGAGAATTTTTTTTCCAGAAAATCACATTGTAGGATTTTTATTGAATTTATTTGCAAATTATGGTGGAAAATAAGTATTTGGTCACCTACAAACAAGCAAGATTTCTGGCTCTCACAGACCTGTAACTTCTTCTTTAAGAGGCTCCTCTGTCCTCCACTCATTACCTGTATTAATGGCACCTGTTTGAACTTTATCAGTATAAAAGACACCTGTCCACAACCTCAAACAGTCACACTCCAAACTCCACTATGGCCAAGACCAAAGAGCTGTCAAAGGACACCAGAAACAAAATTGTAGACCTGCACCAGGCTGGGAAGACTGAATCTGCAATAGGTAAGCAGCTTGGTTTGAAGAAATCAACTGTGGGAGCAATTATTAGGAAATGGAAGACATACAAGACCACTGATAATCTCCCTCGATCTGGGGCTCCACGCAAGATCTCACCCCGTGGGGTCAAAATGATCACAAGAACGGTGAGCAAAAATCCCAGAACCACATGGGGGGACCTAGTGAATGACCTGCAGAGAGCTGGGACCAAAGTAACACAGCCTACCATCAGTAACACACTACGCCGCCAGGGACTCAAATCCTGCAATGCCAGACGTGTCCCCCTGCTTAAGCCAGTACATGTCCAGGCCCGTCTGAAGTTTGCTAAAGTGCATTTGGATGACCCAGAAGAGGATTGGGAGAATGTCATATGGTCAAATGAAACCAAAATATAACTTTTTGGTAAAAACTCAACTCGTCGTGTTTGGAGGACAAAGAATGCTGAGTTGCATCCAAAGAACACCATACCTACTGTGAAGCATGGGGGTGGAAACATCATGCTTTGGGGCTGTTTTTCTGCAAAGGGACCAGGACGACTGATCCGTGTAAAGGAAAGAGTGAATGGGGCCATGTATCGTGAGATTTTGAGTGAAAACCTCCTTCCATCAGCAAGGGCATTGAAGATGAAACGTGGCTGGGTCTTTCAGCATGACAATGATCCCAAACACACCGCCCGGGCAACGAAGGAGTGGCTTCGTAAGAAGCATTTCAAGGTCCTGGAGTGGCCTAGCCAGTCTCCAGATCTCAACCCCATAGAAAATCTTTGGAGGGAGTTGAAAGTCTGTGTTGCCCAGCGACAGCCCCAAAACATCACTGCTCTAGAGGAGATCTGCATGGAGGAATGGGCCAAAATACCAGCAACAGTGTGTGAAAACCTTGTGAAGACTTACAGAAAACGTTTGACCTGTGTCATTGCCAACAAAGGGTATATAACAAAGTATTGAGAAACTTTTGTTATTGACCAAATACTTATTTTCCACCATAATTTGCAAATAAATTCATTAAAAATCCTACAATGTGATTTTCTGGATTTTTTTTTCTCATTTTGTCTGTCATAGTTGACATGTACCTATGATGAAAATTACAGGCTTCTCTCATCTTTTTAAGTGGGAGAACTTGCACAATTGGTGGCTGACTAAATAGTTTTTTCCCCCACTGTATGTGGTGTGTGTACTGTGTAAGTCATGTTATTTTATTGCCTTGAGCAACAAGTGTGTGTGACAATCTGTCCTCCTGCTGATGGAATGTTTGGATGTACATGGTCATGTATGGTATTTTTATTTTATTTATTTCACCTTTATTTAACCAGGTAAGCCAGTTGAGAACAAGTTCTCATTTACAACTGCGACCTGGCCAAGATAAAGCAAAGCAGTGCGATTAAAAACAACAACACAGAGTTACATATGGGATAAACAAAATGTACAGTCAATAACACAATAGAAAATCTATATATAGTGTGCAAATGTAGTAAGTTATGGAGGTAAGGCAATAAATAGGCCATAGTGCAAAATAATTACAATTTAGTATTAACACTGGAGTGATAGATGTGCGAATAGAGATACTGGGGTGCAAATGAGCAAAAATAAATAATATGGGGATGAGTATGCTTTACTAACAGGAAAAAGGTCGGGGGGGGGGGTGGGGGTGTTGCAACTCAATGTTAGAAAGGTGTTCCTTATTTTTGGTATACTCGGTGTATAGTTATGTTGTTTACCATTTCATTTCCTCTAAACACGTATACACACACAACACACCCCACCAATTACTGTGTTGAACCTGTTTATTTTCTAGTGATGTTATTACCTAAAGTGAGCTGACAGAGAGACAAATCATTGTTTACTTCTACGTAGGGAGGAGATCATCTCTTCAACTTGGCCACTGTGATTTGGAACTTTGCAGCCATGACATCCCTGGTCTGGTTATGCTATTCCACTATACCTTTACATAGTGAACTTGATCCTTATCAAGGAATGTTTTGGCGGTTTTCCTGTCTGCCTTTTCACCAAATCACAGCATGTTTGTGCCCCATCTCAACACCCTATATCACCCTTTTACCCTCTCAAAGCCTCACCCCATCTATACAGAGGTCACATCTCTCAGATGCCAGTGAAACGTGGAGACGTGAATTCCATCCAGTCAATTATGGTATCCCCCCCCACTGGCCATTCTTCGGGGGAGACACGTCACTCATGGTCTCTGTTGCAAAAAGAAAGGAATGAACAGAATTCTGTGTGAAGACAAAGCTTCTACCCTGGTGAGCTTCCCCTGACATCTGACCAGGGACCAGTAGTGCACTTTATAGGGTGTCATGTGGGATGCAACCTCAATTGTACCTCTCCAGTCCTTACCCATCTTTACTTAATCTCCAAACAATCTCCATCTCTCCATCCATTTCACTCCACCTCTAAACCAAATCACCTCACTCCTCAAACCCCACCATATTTATTGATTCCACCCTTCCAACCCCCAGTGATGTGGGCCCACCGGTCTTTCCGCTGCTCTGCTCCAGAGGAATGTGACACTCTCCCCTGGTCGTGTCGCCACGACACACACGTGGCAAGAGAGGGGTAGTGTGTGGGACAGTGGGTATTAGAGGGCCTTACACAGTCTCACACACTCACGTTGCCTTTACTCCTTGGGGTTTAGCTACTCTGTTCACAGAAGGAGCCTAGTGACTACTTTATCCAAGAGCACTGTGTGTGAGTGTGTGTCACTGTGTCACTACCGGTACATCTCTTTACCTCTTTATTCATACAGTATTATATATTTGTTTCTTGGTTAGAAAGATTTAAATAGATGTTTGAAAGTTCTAGGGAAAACATTTTCAAACTTTTAAAATGTTCCTTAATGATTAACATCTTCTCAAACAAACCCACTTTCAGAGTGAAGGAAATCAGTTGTGATCTCTTCAGCAGGTCACTTTAATTTAAAATGTTTTACAGTGGCTGTGAAGCATTCGGGCACATACATACATACATACATACAGCATGTCTCAATCACTTCTCACACATAACCCTCTTTCCATCTAAAGCCATTTCACTTGTTTTCTTCCTCTCTTTCTTTCTTAATTTATTTTTCGAACTAACAATCCCAGATTCCTGATGGGATTAGCCAGACTGGACGACCAGGGACAGAAGCCCACAGCTGACTCCCACTCCCTGTCGCCGGTCTCACCGGGTCACACTGCTGAGGAGGGTGAGTGGGTTACACACACATACACAAGTTGCCCTCCTCAGTCCTGGATTTACTGTGCCATCGTCACTAGCTCCCCAAAACATCAGCTGGGGTCTACAGCTGCCCTTTCCACTTTGACCCTTAATCCCAATGACCTTTAACCTCTGTGACCTCTCACAGTTATAGGTTCAGCCTCGGAAGCTGGCATCACTGCCCTCTTTCTAAACGCACTCTTGAAACAGAGATTTTCTGAGTATAAATGTTGATGTGCATTTTTTAAAATATTTTTTGGTAGTGTAGCAATAAACCTGACTACAGTGCATGCATTTGTTCTTTATTCTTTCCTTCTTAAAATTGAGATGCCATCGAACTACAGACCACGTTGGGAACAAAAGACCTACCACTGCCACTGCTTTCTGAACGTCTAACCACCTACCCACCGTCATGGATCTGTGACTATACCAAATGCTTAGGCACACACACACACAGCATGGAGAGACCAGTGTCTCAGATGAGTGGGCAGCCTCACAGAAGGCCAGACCTGAGGCCAATTAAAGCCTTTCATGAGAAGGGACACTGCACTTCCTGGAAACCTCACAGAGAGGGAAGGACATTCTTTACACTACTCTAG